ATGAGCTTTCCCCTAGACTGCGTATGAGCTGATTGTGAATGGTTTACATTTGGGTAGGAGTTGAAGGGCAGATGGCTCCACTGCAGTAATTCTGTGATTTGGCCAATGACTGTGGCAGAATGGCAGTGGGTTTGAAACCCTCCTCCCAATAAGTGCATTGTCTGTGTGCCGTGCTTGGTTCCCCACGCCCTGGGCCTAGAATGTGGCTTGTTTCCACATCGTAGATTATCCCACTGCTAGAAAAGAGCTTCCTGTTCGTGTAACCCTCAGCTTTCCATTCGGGAGTCACCCCGGTTTGCTTCCCAACTTACGACTCCGCTCCAGGTTCTACCATTTTGAAGCCTGGCTGTCATGTTTGATTTTTCTCTCTCCATGCACAGCTATTTGACCTTTAGAAAAATAAAGCTTGGGTATGTGCACAGTTTCAGAGCTGCTTTTTCAGATCCTTCCCTTTTTCCTGTCTAATACTGGCCAACTTGTATTAAAGGGAGTTAGTTACTGAGGTGGGGGGTTGAAAGGGGAATTTTGAGTGGTTTAAGTCTTTCTGTTTTACTATTTTTTACCTGAATATAGACTTCATTATAGCAGATGTCTTGTGAAACAGTTAAGAGTGCAGGTAAATTTAATAGGAGTTGTACTATGCACTGAACATCGCTAGACAGCCTTCAGGATATTGACAATCATCTTAGGGCCATTGGTTCTCTTGTCGGTTGATAGAAAACACCCAGGGGTCCTTTCAGAGGTGTTGCTTGTAGAGATGGGCTACAAAAGAGGTTAAAAGTTTGGTTCTGTTGTGTACTCGCTGCTGGCATGAGCTAACCAAGAGATCTGTATTTGATAAAACTGAATGCTGTTCAAAGCTTGAGAAGCAGCATTCCGCTTTTCCCATGTTGACATCTCTATTATAATTTCAACAGCATAAGAAACAAGGGACAAGGTCCAGTGCTAGTTTGCAAATGAAAGCAGAAGCTGCCTCTATCAGCAGATCTGTTTGAATGTGTGTTTGCTATATTTATGTATTTGGCTTTCCTCAGTGCATAGTGGGCTCTTTGCATAAACCACCTGCTGAAAAACAATAAAATTAAATGAAAAGTTATTAGGGATTAATGATACTAACTCTCCTTTTAAAATCTGATGTTGAGCATGTTCCATGCAGTATTGAAAAAAAATCACTTGTCAAAATGCAAGAGGTTTTTTTGTTCCCCTTTTCAGTATTCCCCCTGGAAATTGATACTTAACTACCTAAACAAGGCACCGTGCCATGTCCTTTTTAATAAACCTATTTAACAAACAAAATACGGTCTCCTGTTTTGGGGGGGAGATTTGGTTAAAAAGACAAAGTCATTAAGACACTTTTACAGTTAAAAATTAGAAACCAGAGAGAGGTTTTTCTTGGTCTAACAGACATTTTCAGCAATGGATATTTTATTATGCTCAAGAAGGCTAATCCTGCTATTTTCTGGGGGTTTTAAGAAACTGATTATCGCAACATGACCATCGTTCAGATACAGGGGTATTTTGTATCTTCAAATTGCTGAACTACTAACATAGCTCAGGACATAAGAACGGCCCACTATCCTGTCTTCCAACAGTGACCAATGACAAGTCCCCAGAGGGAATGAACAGGATAGGTAATCATCAAGGGATTCCTCCCCTGTTGCTCATTCCCAGCCTCTAATGAAAGGACTTTATCTGGACAACCATTTTATAACTGCAAGAATATCTTCAGTTGATCTGGTTATGACGTTCAGTACAATTCTTACGTGTTTGTTATTGTACAATGAGTTGTGTGTATGTGTATCTGAGGTGTAACACAGGTTTTGTGTAATTATAATTCCATGGGAAATTTTTTACACATAGCTTATGGACGTACTGATACACAAAACTACTGTGGTTTTGTGTCTGCTTGTTAATGGACACTAATTAGACTGCAGCAAAAAAACAGATGTAAAGAGTGGAAGCAAGAGAAGAGGACAGATCAACTAGCATAATCTTCAGAGATTAATTAAATGGCATTCATATTCATGGTATTATAATGGTCATGATGAGTTTTTAAGATTATGGTTACATTTTAAACTGGCAGATTTGTAACTCTGCTGTTCATAGTGTGTCCAGTATTGTAGATCTGACGAATTTCACTTATCAGAAACAGGCCATGTGAATTCTGACCAAGGACCTTCCCCTGTTGTGGCATTAGAAATCTTAACCTTTAAAAAACCTGAGCTATATTTAACCTTCATTGTTCATATACAACTCCCTGATGTTAATAGAAATTAGATTAATTTATTGATGGGAGAACAGACCTTTAACTACTTAGCATACTCAGGATTTATTATGTTTAATTTTCTGTATTTTTGGTAGCAAAAACAGAGTGAGGTTTAGTGCTGAAGAAATTGAGGGGCTGATTCTGCGTTAGTTAGAATCATAATCTGAGTAGTCACGGTTTAAGCTTCTCTGTCACTTCTAATGCATTTTAGTTTGATCTGAATTACCCTTTGCTATTTGTCTTCAATTCTCACACCACTGCTCTACTAAGGTACACCAGTGCAAGTATATATAGAGAGAGTCCTGTGCAATGTTCTCTCTAAGCTTTTCCACCCACGTGCAGAATTGTCATGTGCACCAAGGCATGTGCCGATGTGCACCACCAGTAGAAACACATGCTTCTGGGCATTGTGGGCACTCTGCTAATCAGCTGGGCAGCATTTGAATCTATGCTGGGTGCCCACACAAGTGCTCCGCTTACAGAGGACACTGGTTCCGTGGTATTAATAATGGGCTAGAAATTGGGGGGAAGCATGGGCTGTGATAAAGGAGAGAGAGGCAGAATTTGGGAGGCAAAATCCAATCAGTATCTTAGTTGTCTGTATATTAAAGCAAGAGGTATGGGGAATAAGTAGGAAGAACTTGAAATGCTAGTAAATAAACACAACTATGACATAGTTGGTATCATAGGGTACGTCTAGACGCATGTTTCTCAATTTTTTTTATAAAGTACCCCTTTAAAAAAATATAAGTACCTACAGTTTAGACCCACACACTTTTTTCTACCATTGTAACACATTTGTTTAAACAACTTACTGGGCAACTTAGGTGGGCAATGAAATTTTAGGGTGTAAGAAGTACAAAAATAATAAAGCACTGAAAACGCAAATTCAGTTTTCTCCAAATTTCAGTTGTTGACGTACCCCCCAGATTTCTCTAGTACCCCTAATGGTACTCAAAGCACTGGTTGAAAAACACTGGTCTAGACTACAAGCCTCTTTCAAAAGAGATCATCTAGACAGCCACGTGACTTTTGAAAAAGCCCTGTTTGTGCTCAAGAATGCCTTTTTTCGATAGAATGCGTTTTTTTAAAGAGCTCTTTCTCATAAAATTAGGTTTACCGCTGTTGAAAAAACTGCCTTATTCTTTCAATTTAATTTTGAGAGACCACGATGGCAGTCTAGACGCAGGTGAAGTTTTTTCAAAAAAAGGCCACTTTTTTTCCGAAAAAAACCCAGTAGTCTAGTCATACCCACATAGATGTGGTAAGAGCATATGCATAACTGGAATATTGGTATAGATGGGTGCAGCTAGCTCAGTATAGAAGCAAAGGGAGGAGGCTTTGCCTTGTATATTAAAAATGTATATACTTGGACTGAGGTGGAGAGGAATATAAGAGACAGACTTGTTGAGAGTTTCTAGATAAGATTAAAAGTGGTAAAAAAACAAAACAAGGGCAGTGTCATGATAGGAGTCTGTAACAGACCACCTAACCAGGAAGAAGAGATGGATGAGGCTTTGTTTAAACAACTAACAAAATCATCCAAAGTACAGGACTTGGTGATGATGGAGGACTTCATCTATCCAGACATCTGTTGGGAAAATAACACAGCAGGGCACAGATTATCCAACAAGTTCTTGGCATGTATTGGAGACTATTTTTTTTATTTGTTTCAGAAGAAGGCTAAGAAAACTACTAATGGGGAAGCTGTTTTAGATTTGATTACTACATAGGGAGGAACTGGATGAGAACTTAGAAGTGCAAGGCAGCTTGGGTGAAAGGGATCTGTTCAATATTTTTATCAATAACCTGGATATTGGCATAGAGGGTACACTTTTATAAAGTTTGCAGATAATATGAAGCTGGGAGGGATTGCAAGTGCTTTAGAGGATAGGGACATAATTCAAAATGATCTGGACAAACTGGAGAAATGGTCTAAATTCTGGTAGAGTTGCACAAAGTTTCCTCTGCCCTACCGGGAGGATGCAACACTTTGAAGCGCCGCATGTTCCCGGTAGGATGGGAGGAGACGTTGCATGCTCCCCCGCCCCCAAGGCCTGTTTGCCCTGGTGACGGGGGAACATGCAAAGCTTCCTCCACCCTCCCCCTGCCCTGCCAAGAGTGCATGGCACTTAGAAGTGCTGCATGCTCCCCTACCCCAAATCCCTGATAGGCCTGGGGACAGGGGGAATGCGTAAAGTTTCCTCTGCCCTGACCCCACCCTACAAGGAATGTGTTGCACTTCGAAGCGCCACGTGCTCCTGGCAGGGTGGGAGGAGGCTTCACACGCTCTCCCGCCCCAAGTCAGTCATGGTCTGTGGGTGGGGAAGCTCGGAAACATCCTGGCCCCTCCCCTTCCAGTGTGGCCCGGGGCCACTACAAAAAATTATTGTCCACCCCGATCTAGATGGTGCATGGTCCTGCCATAAATGTAGGAGACTGGACTCGATGACCTCTTGTGGTCCTGTCTAGATCTAATATTCTACAATTGTATTATTTCTGTATTAATTTGGCAAAAAATCTTTCCGTGGTACAACTGCACTGCTCTGTTATATGTTTGATAATTAACTAATTTTCAGTTTGTTTTATGACTCTTCAGGGAAAAAAACTTTAATGGTGCAGTGAAATGACTTTATTAAAAATAAGCTGCGGATCATTATGGTGTTAGAAAAACAACATCCACTAAAACCTGTGTAAACACAATAATGTTATTGCTAATGTTCTCTTCTAATAGACATCTGTGGGTGAGAGTCTTCAAAAAGAAGCATTGAAAAAGCAAGTAATGAAGCAAGTAAGTTGCGCCGTGGGAGTCCTCATGCATATAACAAAGTAAAAAATTGCAGTGATTAGTAACCATGCCAGCTAACAGTGTTTTGCCCTCGCCAGCAACCTAGGCTGGCTGCCTTCCTATAACCACTTCAGAACGCAGATGTTTTACGGTGTGGATAAGACGACTCCCTTCATGACTATGCATTTATAACTAGTTTTGCTCATCCAATTGTACATGCCCTTCAGGGACTTTGTCCTCAGATTTCTCCAGTATTCACTACTAACAACAGTCAGGCTCTGATATGTGCACCAATATTATATAGTCTTAGAGGGGTAGCTATGTTAGTCTGTAACTTTAAAATGATTAGTCCTACCGCACCTAGAGACTAACAAAAAAAAAAAGATACAGCATCATGAGCTTTCGTGCGTAAAACCCACTTACAAATTTTATGACTCGTACAATAGCTGAAATATGAAAATACAGGCAGTCCCCGAGTTACGCGGATCCGACTTATGTCGGATCCGCAGTTACAAATGGGGTTTGCTACCCGTATCCCTGGTCTGCTGGAGACCAACAGAGCAGGGAGACGGGGAGCAAAGCGGAGCAAAGCCGCGGAGCACGTGGGCAGCGGACAACCCAGACGCACCGCGGCTGTCCTGCTGCCGGCGTGCTCCGCGGCTTTGCTCCGCTTTGCTCCCCGTCTCCCTGCTCTGTTGGTCTCCAGCAGATCAGGGAGACGGGGAGCAAAGCCGCGGAACACGCGGGCAGCGGACAGCCCAAACGCGCCGCGGCTGTCCCACTGCCGGCCTCCTCAGAGGCTTTGCTTCCCCCCTCCCCAGCCCCGGGCTTCCTGGAATCAGCCGCTGATCAGTTTCAGCAGCAGCTGACTTGGGGACGCCTGGAGTTCTTTAAGTTGAATCTGTATGTAAGAACTGGTGTCCAGATTCAGCCTGTTGAAACTGATCAGCGGCTGATTCAAGGATGCCCGGGGCAGAGCAACTCTGCCTCGGGCTTCCTGTAGTCAGCCGCTGGTCAATTTCAGCAGCTGCTGAATCTGGATGCCAGTTCCGACTTACATACAGATTCAACTTAGGGACTGTAGGTTTGTTCTTATCTTGTACGTAACCCGGGGACTGCCTGTAATTCAAACTTTGTTATTTGCCACCAGGTCATATAAAAGTATTAATATTGCACATTTATTGTGGTCAAGGCCTTAGAATGGGTGTCATTTACTATTTATAGCTCTAGGTTTTCAAGTGGGGGGAGACTGAAAGTTATGATTAGTTGGAGTTAGACTGACCTGTTTACGATTAAGGTCAAAAGTATGCATAAGGTGCATTATATCCATTGGGAACGTGCTTTCCAAATCATAAGGTACATTAATAATTATCTCAGAGGGGTAGCTGTGGTGTTCTGTAATTTTAAAAATGAGTAGCCCTGTGGCACCTTAGAGACTAACAAATATATAGAATCATTAGTTTTTTTGGGTTCGTGTGGTATTTTTGTTAGTGTGTGAGGTACCACAGGATGAATCAGTGAGAAGCATGAGAATCAAAAAGTGAGGCTCTCTAGTAACCAGCCTTAAAGAACAGAAATGATAGGTAAGCAGTAATGATATTTATTAAATTTTTTTCATCTCGTTAAGAAGATGTGCACAAAAGCTGGTTCTGTTACTACACATTTTTAGAACTGATATTTAAAAATTCACTCTCCTGTGGTGATTTTCTCGATCACATCTGTATTGCAAGGTCGTCTTTACAACCAGATGTAAAAGTCTGTAGTTCTAATTGTCTGTATTCCAATTTAGGGATGCAATAGTGTAGTCAATTAACTGATAAGCAAATGCTTATAGGTTAATGCTTTAGACTGCATGCATTTCCCTCCCCGCACCCTTGCCAGTAAACTTTTTAGCAGGCTGGCCAGCATGCTGGCTTAGTTCTGGCTCATACCAGGTCTGGAGGCTCAGTACTTGCTTGTGCCGGGTTCAGGACCTAGCCTCACTGAAGCTCTGCATTTACAGTGTATTAGGAGCCAGACAGGCAGCCCAGCTCAGTTCCGGCACACATGGGAACTATATCAGAGGCAGCAGTGCAGGGCAACAGGCAGCTGATCCACAAGGGGAGCTGCTTTTTAAACTGGCTCCCCTTGTGGATCAGCTCCTGCCTGGCACCCCATGCTGCCTCTGATACAGCAGCTGCCAGCCCCACCCCAGGGACTATAGAATAGTTGACTAACCGATTAAAAATTTATGAGGTTACTCGACTATTCATTTAACCAGTATTTAACATCCCTATTCCCATTTAGCAAACGTGAGGTAGTAGTCTTTTACCTAACAAAGGCTGGTTTTTAACTTCCATGTTTTTATGGGTGTAATAAATTATTCCTCTTTTCTGAACAAGACTGTTCTTGGGATTCTTTTGGCTGTGCCCAGGAATAGTTGAAAAACAGCCTAATGCAAACTTTGTAACTGAAGTTTCCACAGAGCTGATATAGTTACAACACACAATAAAACTTGAAGACTTACTTTATACACACTGTAAAACTACAAGAAGTTACATTTCTTGGTGTGACATAGCATATAGTGATACTTTATTGAATGAATATTTTAAACAACTTTATTTTGGAGGGAAAATATAATATTTTAAGGAAATTAAAGATTATAAAAAAGTGATGAATTACATAATGGAGTTCTTGCCAAGAGAGTCTTGTATTGTGTCGTTGACCTGAATTTGAGCTAGACATTACAGCTCACCACTAATAGGGTCTGACCAGAAGGTTTTTAGATTCTTGTCCCAATACCGGCTATAGGGTCAGAGAACAGAGAGCTGAATGTCAAGAAAGGCCTCTCAGATCATGTGGCAAGGACACTTATACTGAGGACAGTACCAAATTGATAAGATCTTTATTAAAATTAATGAAAGAACAATAAATGATGTAACACACAGTCACAAAAAAGTAATACAGTTCTTGGACACTAGTGGTAGCACCTCTGTTCCAAAAGACTCCTTAAGTGAGCATGCTTATACCCTTCTCTGAGGACCTGGTAGTGGAAGACAAAGGACCAGATTAATCTCTGGCGTGCTGGATGAATTTGATGGTCCAGGTTAGGTTTGAATGTTAAGTAGCTAAGCTGTATTGCAAAGCTTAGCTAATAACTTGATAAGATAGGAGGAAGTGACAGCTACTACTTACACACGATTGGTTGTCGTTTTATAGTAGCCTGACTTAATTTAGGCCCAACCTCCCATGCTCAAATCCTATTTCCTCACCTCCATAAATCTTCGGGTACACTTATTCTGTAGGTTAACATATTATGACCTATATCATACATTGATTATCTCATTCCCGAAATGGTTATCTTTGACCCAACTTATGACTTCCACATTCTGTGGTCTATCCTGCGGTTACTAGTTTGTACCAGAATTATGACGAACATATTCAATTCTTTGTTTGGTTCTCCATTCAGTCCTCCAAAGCCAAGAGGGGCCAGTAGGTCATTTCTATCCCAAAGGTTATAAACACTGGAACTGACTTGCTTTAGCTAATCCTACAGTAAACTAGTCTGTAGGTTGTTTGTGTTACAGCCAGCTCGTATGAATAACTACTATGAATAAAACATACTGGAATTCAATATAAACACAATCTAAGAAAATAATATGACTAATCCATAATAGGATATGATAGAGTAGTATAGGCAAAACTAAGATTACATAAAATAGCAATTTGGCCTTATGGGCTACAGTGTTCAGGGGTACGTTGTCTAGGAGGATCAAGATACTTCTGTAAAGAGACCCAATTATAGGAAAACAATTACATAAGCCTATTGATAGGTGGTAATGTGTGTAGGATAAAATTCTACAGGTGACAGACAAATAACCTATAGGAGTATGTTTAGATAAAACAGTGTAGAAAAATAGATGGACAGATTGGCTAAACTTTTTATTATTTGTATTTATTTAAAATGCCATTGTATTTGATCTAGGAATATTATTTGATGGGTAATTGTCCAGTAAGCAGTATATCCATAATAGCTCAATAGCTGTAATTATGTTTTCTCATTGTATTCTTCCTTATCCTCTTAAATATTGTTCTTATAATTACTCTTATTTTTAACTCTGAAACCAAACCAAGAACTTTTAACATAAGCTCACCGCAACTCCATATATAGTTTCCTAGTAGATTTATATCATGAGCTAATCTAGTTAAAGCAAAGTGTATGAATAAAAAGTTTTAAAAGCTTAAAGCTTTATGCCTCATTTGTCTGTCTCTTATTTTTTAAGACCAAACTTGAGATTCAGAAGGCCTTGGCAGAAGATTCTACAGTGTATGAATATGACAGTATTTATGATGAAATGCAGCAGCAGAAGAAAGAAAGTAATGCCCAAGTACTCTCAGGAAAAGATGACAAAAAGGTCCATAACTGAAAATGTATGCTATCTGTTACCTCTGTATGCTGGGAATAACCATGGTTATTTTTCTTTATATCCAAGTAACCTGTTGCACATTCTGTAGCAGGGCCTACATGTGTTGAGCTCAGAATTGTGTTGTATAAGAGTGTGATGATGTAAGACTGCTGGTTCACCTGGTATTTCATGACTCTAGTCCCATCATTCTGCTGTTGAGTGGGAGGACATCAGGTTTTGTCTTCGCTTCCCACCCACAAGTTCTGTGGGGCAAGGGTCATGTGAATTTCTGGAGAGCCTGTTACAATGGGATAATCCCAAGAGAGCTTTTGGTCATTACAACAGTACTCCTCCTAAAAGGCAACCCAACTAAATAGGGGAAGAGCAGCATTATCAGATTTTGTAGCAATGAGTATACGCCGCTTCTCACTAGTCATTGGCCACAGGGAGTGCCAAGAAGCCAAAAACTAATTACATTTAATCCGTAACATGAACCAGTTTCTATAACCCAATTCCTTATTCCAGAAAATGGCTGAATTATTGTGGCAAATCACTTTTTCCATTATTATTCATTGCATTTGGTAATGAAGTGTGTCAGGCTATGGAAGGTCTAAATGAAGAGTGCATCGCATTCCCTGATAGTTGTCGCCCTCCTCAACTTCCTATCACAAGACAGAAAACTGCTGGAAGACAGGTGGTATTGAAAGCACTTCATTTCAGTCTGAGCAGCAGTACAACCACTGAAGCTAGGCTCAGATTTTTATGGAATGCAGCAACCTGTTTCATTCGTAAGGAGAGAATTCCCATGATGTGGAGCTGGGAAAAGGTTGGGTTAGTTCTTGGAGATCCTTGTCTCAGCAGTGGTGACAGTATAAACTAGCTGGACTGGCTACTGCCAATTTTGTTCTACTAAAAATTGATTTTTAGTTTTACTTAGCAACTTTCATTTGTCTTTTCTCAACTGCCTGGATGCTCTCTCATTACTGTTTTCCCCCACCTCAGCCCAAGTACATCCAACATATCCTCAAAGCAGCTGAGGTAAGGAAGCAGGAGCAGGAAAAAAGAATGGAAAAAAAAATTCAGAAGGAGCGTGAGATGGAAGGGGGAGCATTTGATGACAAAGAGGCCTTTGTGACATCTGCCTATAAGAAGAAGCTGCAAGAGAGGGCAGAGGAAGAAGAAAGAGAAAAAAAGGAAGCAGCACTAGAGGGTGAGATTGATGCTGAACCAGGATGATTCCCCCTCTAAAGAAGAGTTTGGCCTTTTGCTGTGAAAGATCAGGGTCATGGGGGTGATGCGCAGTTTTCATCCTGGCTTCTGAATTAGGCTGGGGAAAGTGGTTCTGTGGTAATCGTAGAAATGTAGGGCTGGGAGGGGCACCAAAAGGTTAGTTTACTGAGATGGGATTAATCATCCAAGCTGTCAGTACCTTCTACATGTTTCGTTCGTCTTTAAGGTGCTACTAGAGTTTTCGTTCTTTAAGTTTTTCTAGTTACAGACTAACTCAGCTGCCACTCAGAAGCTTTTCATCCATGTACAATTCACCGTTTCCCATGCCTCCTTCTCCCACTCTTTATTCTCACTGGACAAAAAATAGGAGAGTTGGCCGCATGGTTTTGAGCATCTTTCCAACCTTTCCAGGGCCCCAACTATCATTTTTGGACACATGCCTTGGGAGGGAGGGAATATTTTAAAATTTATTTTTCCCTACTAGAAACATTAACAATAAATTAATGCATACAGCTATCGTGTCTTTTATGCACTTATTTAATGGTTCTGTATAGAATTGACTAATTGTACAAAGTCTTAATGACAGAGGAAGAAAGAAATGCTGATACACACCAGTGTGTTTGTGGATTATAAGGCCAAAACCCAGAGAGAGCACTGTGACCGTCTAATTGACCTGTATAACACATCCCATAAAACATCCCTGAATTAATTCCTGTTTTAACTAGCACATATCTTTTAGAAAAACATACAAACTTACTTTTAAAATAGTCAGTGACGATGGTCCACTATGAGCCTTGCTAGAGCGTTCCAGTGGCTAATTACTCTCATTGGTAAACATTTACAGATTGAATTTGTCTAGCTTTTAACATTTGGGCATTGGCTCTTGTTCCTGTGTCTACTAGATTGAAGAGCCTATTATCATGTTTTTGTTCCTATATTGGTCCTTAATAAACTGAACAATTCACTGCTTTGCCTCTTAACCCAAATAGACTGGACTCTATGGGCATGTTTAAGCCTTTAACCATTCTTGTGCCTTTTCTCTGAACTTTCTGCAAGTATCTATGTACTTAAATTATGGACCCCAGAAGTACACATCGTTTTTCAGCCAGGGTTGTACCACTGTGGAATGCAGCAGTGATGTATCATCTCTTGTTCAAGATTCCCCTGTTTGCATATCCAAGAATTGTCTTGGCCCATTAGCTCACTGCATCACACTGGGAGCGTGTGTTCAGCTGATTAACTCCATGGCCCTCAAGTCTTTTCAGAACCAATGCTTCTCAGGAGGGAGTCACCCATCTCAAAAGTCTGGCCAACAGTCTTTTTCCCCAGATGTATATATTATGTTTGGCCATGTTACAACTCATATTGCTTGCTTGAGCCAGCTTGCCGTGCGGTCCAGATCAGGGACCTGTGCTCTTGGTTATTTACCATTCCTGAAAATTTTCAGTGATTATTTTGTTTTTGTTCAGGTCATTGCAGAGGTACAAGTAGGCTGGTACGGGTTGGTGTGGCATACCGGTAAGAAAATGGCCACTGGTATGGGTCCATATGCAGCCCAAAGATGCTACAGCAGGACTTTAAGGACCCTACTGGCAGGGCTGCCAGCGGGGCAAGGGGTAGGAAGAGGGGGCAGCTGCCCTGGGGTCCATTGGTTTAAAAGGACCTGGGTCCCTCAGTTGCCGCAGTTACTGCTCAGTGAATGGAGCCCCAGATCATTCAAATTGTAGCTTGAGCCATTACTAAAGGGCTGGCTGGGAAGGGTTGATGCTGGGCGAGACCCCACTGGAAACAAACCCACCCAGTGCTGAGTCCTTGTTTACAGTAACATTTTTAGACTGTCACTTAGCTAGTTTTTTAATCCATTTAATGTATGCTGTGTTGATTTTTATATCTTTCTAGTTTTTAATCAAAATGTCATATGGTACCAACTCAAATGCCTTACTGAAGTCTAAGTATATTACATCAACATCATTATTTTTATCAAACTTGTAATCTCATAAAAGCATCAGGATTAGTTTGACATCTATTTTCAATAAGTCCATGTTGATTGGCATTAATTATATTATCCTCCTTTAATTCTTTATTCATAGAGTCCGGTATTGGTCAGTCCATTCTTTTGTTTTGCCCAGGACTGATGACAGACCTGCAATTATCTGTTGTCCCATTTATCCTGTTTAGATATTGGCACAATATTAGCTTTCTTGAACTTCCTCAGTCTTCCAAGGCACTTTTGAAAATTTACATTAACAATTCAGCAAGCTTTTTTGCTAGCCCTTTTAAATTCTTGGATGTGAATTATCTAGACCTGCTGATTTTAAAATATCTAACATTTGTGGTTGGTGTTTTGCGTCCTGCCAAGTTACTATTGGATTGGAAAGTATTTCTTTATATGTTATGATGACATGTTCTTGTTTTCCCCAAAAACCAAACAGAAGTGTTAAATAAGTGGGTCCTCCAGGGCAGGGGCCTGGTGGGGTGGGGTGTGCAGGGGCCAGGACAAACATCCATCTAGCCCAGTATCTCCTGTCACTCATTGGGCTTCCGAGATATTTGAATTGATCTACCCTCTTGAATGCTTCATTGTCGATTTTTTTTTTTAAATGTTTAAATGACTGTATCCGATTACCGTGGTTTTACATTTCTTTACATTGAATCGTAGTCCTACCCTCGTCATCATTACTTTAGCTTTATTTATGCATGCTTACACCAACAAAATCTTGATTGAATAATCTTGAATGATTCCACTTTAAGCCACATCGATTATTTTTACATCACTTGAGGCCGTAATCAGTGGCGAACAAAAATGGAGACAGGATGCACCTTTGCCTTATCCCGTCTTAATTTAAAATGATTTACTTAATCCTGTATCCATTTAAACACAGCGTTTGGAGTTAGTGTAAAACGCTTTTAAGTTTCATCGGAATTCCATATTGCCTAACAATTTTCCACGTTGTATCCCTATTTACGCTATCAAATGCTTTTTTGGAAGTCTATAAAATTAATACTGAGCATTCCTTGAAATTCATTCCCATTTTCAATAACTCTTCTTATGGTGAAAATTGTGTCTGCATGAGTGACCTTGCCTAAAACCAGATTGTTCCTCATGAAGAATGATATCCTCTTTTCCTTTCATCCTACTTAACACACTCCCAGCTAAGACTCTTCCTGTGATGGAAAGAAGTGTCATTCCTCTCCAAATAGAGCAGTTACTTCAGACACCCATTGTCAGAAGCTGGTTGATAGTACCAGGTGTCCCTTCTTTTGGAGCTCTTTCTTCTCTGTGGCTTTGATTACATAATGAACATACTTGTCTTGCCAACTTTTCACCCACATATTTGAACATTTTGGGGTGAATGACATCTAGCCCTGATGCCTTGTTATTTTTTAGCTTGTGTAAAATTTCCAAAACCTCATCTGGCAGCTTCTCTTCGTTAAGCTGAGTTGCTGGATGAGGTGTGGGGGAGGCACTTCTTTGAAGTGTTCAACCCATCTGGGTTTCCAGTAAGGATAAATTAAATGCATATTCTTTAAATGGCCAACAGTTCTTCCAAAACCATAGAGCTGACTCAGTGGCCAGAGAGAGAGCTGGGCGGAAGGTGGGGGCATGGAAAGCTGTCCTGGTGATGAAAGACATGGAATTATTGGTACACATTGCAATGAATGAGGGGGCACTGTAATGTACCTGGCAGATAGCTGTGGGATGTGAGGAAAGAGGCAGCAGTCAGAAGGAGACTAGTAAGTCAGTGCTGCTTAGGAAGAGTTTGCAGCTATTCTCTTGCCAGATTTATAATCACATGTCCCTGAGATGAAGACAGCTGTTTTAGCCATAAGAAGCAGTAGCTAGCATAACTAGAATGGAAAATAGTTAAGCCTGGTAGATTTACTTTCTTCTACATTTTCAGTATCCCAGGACTCATCTAGACTACGGGGAATGGTCGAAAGAAGATATGCAAATTCTGCGGGATTCTGCAGAGCTTTAGAAAGTGAAAGTAGTTAAGACGTGGTTTTTTTGGGTGAACTCCCCCCTTTTTGTTGAAAGCCACTCTTCTTCAAAAAAGGAGGTTTACATAGCTTTTCGACAAGGGGGGAAGTTTGCCGAAAAAATCCGCATCTTAACTACTTTCACTTTTGAAAGCTCCGTTTTTGAAAGTGCGATTGGAAGAAGATATGCAAATTCCTGCAGAATTTGCATATCTTTCGACCGTTCCCTGTAGTCTAGATGAGCCCCCAAGCATCTCTTTCTGGATTATGGGTTTGCCCTATGTAAATAGGATCAGGTTCACGTTCATGAAACTAACATAATTTTTATTTTTCTTCCCTTAGCATGCCTGGATGTGACCAAACAGAAGGATCTCAGTGGATTTTACAGACATCTTTTAAACCAGACAGTGGGGGAAGAAGAAGTGCCCAAATGCAGCCTCCGTGAAGTCAGGTAGGACATAAAATTCAGAACATCATGAAGAAACTTTACATGTAAAATCCTTCTGGAATTCAGTGTCACGAGAATCCTAGTAAGAGGGGAGTCAGAACCAAAACACTGATGGGGGAGGAGCTTGCTTTTGAGAGCTGATTACACCATCCTTTGGAAAATGAAAGCTCATCATCATGGGGTGAAAGTATGGGACAGGAGAAGGTAGGTAGCAACGCAAGGATCTTGTTTATCTGCTGTCAAGCAGATACGTACACCAGTAATACGTTCTAGCATCATTCTTAGTCCGTTTATACTTTGACATTTTTCATTTAATGTGGCTTTATTAAAAATCGTACAGTTTTGCTCCCAGAGGCAGTGCGAGAGGAAGATCGTTTTGGATTCAGGTGGATGATATTTAATGGTTGTGCAACGTAATTTTGCCACCCACTGGAAAATTGGAAAGCCTTGAGTCTCTGTCTTTTTAGCTGGCAGCATTTAACTGTACATATGAAAAAATACTTCCATTTGCTTCCCTTTTATTATGGGTATTAAACAAATCAAGAAATCATTTCTAGAACAAGTCCTTTGGGAATATTTTGAATTTTACATATACCGTGTACAACAAAGTAATTTAAATGGTACTGTGTTGTTGGACCGAAATAGAACACAGGTTGTCTCTTCTTAGAAGGGCTGGCTAGGTTTTTTATTTTTCTGAAGGCTTTATAGCAACCAAAGACCACTGAAGGGACTTCATTCCGGTTAAAAACTAATTTGTTTGGATGTTACAAAGTCCTCAGTGATCACATGTTTGTTCTGTGCCTTCAGACTATGGATATTCTCTTCAGTCAGTGAAATTGAATGGAGTCTCAGTTGAACTAAGAGTTAGTTCTTAGCTGATGTGAGGAAGGTTATCACCTTAAAGCTACTCATTCTACGGAGAGACAAGACTTCGTGCCTGCACTTATTGTGAGGCTGAGCCATCACCTCAGAATTAAGAGGGAAAGCCAGGAGAAGACATAGCAGCAGTTCAGAATAGTTACTAGCCTACCTCCATTAGTCAGGTATAAAATAAAGTGACAAACAACAGTAACCCTAACTTGGCTAAGATTTTAAGGACCAGCTGCTACAACAATATGCTCTTTTAAAATCTACTCTGCCTCAGGGTATAGTTTCATCAGCACATTGTATTTCGTAAGTATCTTAGTGTTCATCAACAAAACTTCTGCTATAATAGTAAAATGAACTGTGCTTTTCACTTTTACCTATTTATGAAGCTATCCATGGATTACTCTCTGATTTATCTATGCTTATGAAACAATACCAGTAGTGATTAACCCTCCTGGTATTATATTTACTCAAACAGTTCTCTCCATTTGCAACTGCTACAATTAGTTTATGTTCAGAGAAGTGACTATTTCTCAATGGTGGCTGCTTAATCAGTATATCTGCTTTCTGGCTGTTTTCAGACCATAATTATGGTTTAGAAATACGTTTTGCTGCTATGAGTCCTGTTGAATTATTAGTTAATCTATGGGAAAACAAGCAGGAATCTATTCTGCTAAATCCAACAAAACTGTCAGCTAAGTTTGGTTGTAGATTTTTATGTGTGTGTGTTTTTTTTTTTTTATTATGCTGGTATAAGGTACAGAAAGAAAATATCTAGATTTTCAGCTATTAGACAGCTTGCAGCATTGCCAAATAGAAATTTCACCTTTGACTTATAAATGTCATCATATAAATCTGGAACATCACTAAAAGAGAATAACTCTGGAATGCTACAGTGTAATTTTTAGAGTTGACTTTCCAAGACTATCCATATTTTAAACCATAGAGCAAATTTCCAGCTTAGCTAGATGGTCCACTGATTCCCAAGGAGAATTGCCACAGACTGTTGCTGTAGCTACACGATCAGTGAAAACAGACATGTAGGCTAGGGCATTAAAATGCACATTATCAGTCCGAAAAGACTGAGGTAATGTTGTTGGGTGTTGTCCAAGTTTGATATCTGAGAGTTTGTCCCGCTTGTTTTCTGATTTATTATATTTAACGAGTTACTAGTGTCGTTTTAACCATAAGAGTGAGATCTTGCCAACAAGCACAGAAAAAGTCAGGAATATTATGTTGAAATTTAAACTTTTGTAGTGTCTTATGAGGAGACATGGATAGCATGTTAGCATGAGGTGTTCTGTTTACGGCTATTACTAAAAAAGTAAGAGTTGTATTTGTAACTCTCAGGCACCAAAAAATAAACAAACCCCCAAACCCAAATCCCTCCTTTTCCCCAGATGGAATTATGTGGCATGGGTAGGATTGAGACACATAGGAAATGGTGTGCCATGTAGTAATAGTACCAGGATACAAATTTTGGTCTGTTCCTTAAATAAGTATAACAGAGCTGTAAAATTATACTTATTCTTCAAATTCAAACCCAGCAATTTTTAATGTGTTGAAAATCAAAGCAGCTGTTTTCTATGACGTGTAGAAGAACCTGATGCAAACTTTCAATACAAATCCCTCAGAATTGGAATATTAGAACTGGAAGAGTAGAGACTTTTTTAGCTTTTCAACAGTAATTTCCAGCTGCGTCGCTTCTTAACACGGTTGCTCAAGTCCCAACAAAAAATCGCCAATTCCAGAATGTGACTGCAGGCTTATGTAATATCTTTTTTTTCCCTCCTAAAAAAAATAAAAAAAATGTAGGATAAAGGAAGAAAAATCTACCACTAAGTCTGATGAATCCAACCAAAGAAATAAAAGTCCAGATGAGACACCAATACTTAAAACCCCCGCTAAGGAAGAGGATAACCCAGATGCGGACAGTGACTTAGAAAGTAGTAGTAGGGATGATGATTGTAAAAATAACAGAACTAGTACTAAAAAGAAGGAAATTCAAGACCGCTATGAGAGCAGTGACGAGGATTCCAAACATCACCAGAGCCGGAAGCACTCCACTTCATCAGACTCTTCCAGTGAAGAGAGAAGTCACCACACAAAAATCCATATAAATCATCCTAGGAGAGGAGAAAGTAGAACTGGTAGAAGGGGAAAAGATGATCAGCACAAGGAAAGGGATTATGAGAGAAGAGATAGGAACCAGGAAAAGGAAGACAGACACAGATCTGGGGATCGTACCACTAAAGAGAGCTGCAGAAAGAGGGATGAACAAGAGAACAGACAGAGGGGGAAAGACAGAAAAGAGAGAGATGGATATGACAAGGAAGGTAGGAAAGAGAAAGAGAGGGAGGACAGTTATTCAGAAAGGGAACGAGAAAAAGAGCGACTAAGAAATGACAAAGACAGATACAGTGATAGAGAAAGAGGGGAGAAATGCAGAGAAAAGGATGACCATTTGAAGGAAAAGAGAGAGAAAGATGACAAAAAATACAGGGACAGGAAGGAAAGTAGTCCTAGGGCCTCCGAAAAAGACAGACCGCATGACCAGGAAAGAGAGACAAAGGCAAAGGACAGAGGGAGTAATGACGAGAGAGATTCGTGCTCAGAGAGATTTCCTGAAACAAAAAATAAGGATGCTGAGGAAGGGCAAAAAGGTGCAGAGCAAATGGGGGAAAAAACAGTGTATGTGAGCAAGTTTGCCAAACGGAGCAACGAAGAGACCGTGGTGTCAGCAAGGGATCGCTACTTGGCTAGACAAATGGCCCGAGTTAGCACAAAATCCTACATAGAGAAAGAAGAGGATTAGCTTAATTTCAGTGGCCAAAAAACAAGAGGAGACTGGTGGAAAAATCACTGCAGCAGGAAAGCATTGACGTGCAAGTATTTCCTGACTAGTTTTTGAAAACCTGCTCGGTAATTTAATAAAACAAACTTGTGATTTGAAATATTTTGATGGTCTTTGTACCTTCATCCAATCAACTGTACAGGCACGGTATTTAATTTGACTGGTTCTCTTCGTCCTGGCATTCCACACCATGGCCTCTGCTTGTTATCTCATTTGTTCAGAGACAGGGAGCTGTCTGGTACAGGTGAGAACACTTCAGTGCCAGCCTGCATGTAATCCTTATGAGTTTATACCAGTGCTGCCCCTTGTCTGTAGCAGACATCACTGTCCAGAGGCATTAACACAGAGTGTATGGGAAGGATATACAGGCAAACAACCAGAATAATAATTTAGGTGATGCTGTATGCATTGTGGTGTTTTGTAAACCAGGTAAATTTCATCTTGACATATGTGGATTTGAATGTATATAACGTATTCAAGGGTTTTTGTTTTTCTAGTGCTTGCTGTACAGAAATATTTAAATAAAATGTAAAATATGTACTATAGCTAATGCTTAGGTCTTTCTTTGATTTGTCTCATAAGGAAGCAATACTGCAGCTATTTCCACTATAAAGCTTAGCAAAGAACAGGCATCAATTATACCTTTCCACTTCATGTATTACAGTCATACCTACTTGATGTGCTGTAGTTAATATGTTGAACCTGCCAGAATAAACTTGTCTTTCCAGCACAGTAGTAAAAATCATTCTAAACTGTAATTTGGCAAGCAGGAAATAGGGCAAACATATTTTTAAATTATATTTTCAGCAACCATCCTTGCAGTTCTTATCTTTTTTTCTGGCAAGTGTGTATCTTTTACTTAACAGTGGCTGTGCCAGCATGAAGAATTTGGGCTTCACATGGGGTTGAAAAGAGAGTTTAGACATTCTCAATGTCATTGTGCAGCATTCCTGTAATAAAACCCAAATAAACATGGCAGCTGACCACTTGCATACAGCCTCATTACGTTTGAGTGTTTTCAAGCTAAATTATATGGCCAAATTAGAGAGAGAGTGTTTGTTTACCAGGCATATGACAAGGGTTTTTCTATAGTAAGAGTGGGATTGAGTTCCTACAAGCCATTTAGGTAGTCTGTAACTGACTCTCAAGATAGCCATAATTTCTGTAATTATGACCAATCAAAAAGAAAATATGTCCATGACTTTTCTTTGTCTGGTCCTATATCTTTTTCTAAATCCTCACAATCATTTATTTCTCCCAAAAAAGTGCTTTTTTGCATTCCTTGTTCATCCGTAACTCTCACTGGCTTCAGGTGGAGATTTGGGTATTCAAGGAAGGCAGAATCTTTAAAATAGGACATTTAAAAAAAAAAACTTAAACTTATCAGTGGTTATCAGCTTGGGATCTGGGATTTGTAAAGGGTTAGATACGAAAATCCTTTCAGTGGCTTCCCTTAACTTTTCATATCAAGTTCACGCTGGTGGTCTCCACCTTGTGGACTCTGAACAGGTCTGCCCCTACATGTACCTTTCTTCTCATTTCTTTTTGCTTTTCCCCAAGCTTTCTTACTATCTGCTCTCCTTGGGTCCCCATCCCCCTCCTTGTCTTCGTGGTATGTGCTAAGTTTTGAATAGTTTTCCATTTTTATTGGGCAAGCTGCTACTCTCTCTTCATACAGTCCCTTTATAAAACTTAATTAATCTTTGAAGGCTTTCAGTAGTAATCAGTCTGTCAAAGATTTTTTTCCGCACCATTTTGAGTTGAGACCTCACTGTTCAGCTAGTGTATGGTATATCCTAACTATGCTGTCTATTTTAGAATGCAGCCTCTGTACATGCCAACAGTGCTTAGAAATAATAACGGTAGGTTTTGTGAAATTTAACACTAATTTGCACCTTTGTCAGCTGTCTGAACACTGAGGCCAAGTATTTAATGGATACGGCTGCTGACCTATCTTCTCCCTTCCCCTCAGTATGGTCTTATGTGGACACATTCATGGGGCAGTGTGAGGAATCTTGCCAGTTCAAGGCCTGTTAAGTGGAAAAAGAGAACCCTTCCTTCTCTGTAGCTGTCACTCCATCGTTCATCAGTGCTACATTCACACGTACAGATTTAAAACAAAAAAGGAAAAGTCGGGTTCAGCTTTCTGAAGGGTTACCAGTAGGCAAGTATTTGACTCATTCTGCAGTGTCTTTGACTCACTTGGGATTTATTGGGACAACTCCATAGATTGGTTCACCTGGTGTCTGCACGTTATGCTTGCAGGAAAATGGACAAAGTCTACACTGCTGTGCTTCTCAGTTTTACATTGCAGAAATCTTCTCTGACTTTCCCTCTTGAAACTTATACACTTTGCTCAACATTCTTCCTTAGCTACTATTAACAAGGGCATCTGAGGATAATTTTAGGAAAAAGCAGTTAAGTCTGGGGAAATGGATAGGGCTTCAGCACAAGAAGAGAGGTGCTCATGATGGTACTCACTCATCTTCTTGGTTATCTATCTTAGTGCTCTGGAGTTTGGCATGGCTAAAGTCTAGTGGCCTTTCTAGGAAGTTGGACATGGCATTGTGCCAAATGACCTTTTAATGCAAAGAGATGTAGAATTTGAAGTGATTTATAAACTCAATATGAATTGCTCCTGAAAATTAGTGTGTGTTTGTAATAAATAGGTTAGCTTACAGATTGAATCTCTCTAGTCCAACATGTTCTGGTCTGGCAGCATCTGTGGTCTGGCATGATTTGAGTTAGCACCAAACACTGTGGGCTGCAAAACAAACTTTATGGGACTGCAGGAAACTTGGCTACAACACCCATGATAAGCTGACATTTGACTGTTGTTCAGCTCCATTTTACCCCTAAATGTCTTCTCAGAGCCCAGTGACCAGTGGAAGTGTTAGTAATGCTGCTAGACCTCAGTGACCTCCCATGGTCCAGCAGATTCTCTAGTTCTGCACCAGTCGGTTCCCGAGGGTGCCAGACTACAGAGATTCAACCTGCATTAAATATCATAATCATCCTTACACTTGCCTACATCTTCTGGTCCAGTCTCTGTTCCTGTCCAGTACAGACACAGTTCTAGTGAGTGAGGTATGTCAGATTTATGAAACGGATGAATGGAATGCTGAGAGGAGATTTGGCCAGTCCGGTTGTCCAGCATAGACATGAATGCTCAAATGTTCTATATAACTGTTTGTAATTATATTAACAATAAAATATCCTTACATCTGTGTTCCTTGTGTACTCACTTTTCATTGTATTGGAATTTGGAACAAGGCATTTTCCAGTGATTAATATCACTAAGGCATCTCTTACCTGCACTAGGGCATTAAAGTGAAAATGGTCCAAAGAAATGCCTTGCAATTCATCTGTCAGTGCTTGAGTAGAAGATTAGGAAATCCTCTTTTGTTCAAAATACCCCTTCCTATTTTGAGGTGCTGAGAGAGGGGTTTGTACACTCCAGTCATGAAACCTCTAATTGTGTTGCTGGTTATTGCATACAACTCTTGCAAACTCCAGAGCTTCCTTGGACAAAGAATTGATGACCTAGCCTGGTCACAAAATACTAGCAAAATGCAGGACAATGTAGCACTTTAAAGACTAACAAGATGGTTTATTAGATGATGAGCTTTTGTGGGTCTGGCCCACGAAAGCTCATCATCTAATAAACCATCTTGTTAGTCTTTAAAGTGCTACATTGTCCTGCATTTTGCTAGTATTTTGTGACCAGGTCATGTCCTGCTGTGGAGGATGGAAAGCACTGCACTGATACCAGTGAACGTCAGGTTTAAGAACATTTCTTCGACGAGGCTGTGGTTTGTGAAACTACAACACTTTGTAGTGTGTTTTCAGGAACAGCCAGCAAGTCGGCACTGTTATACTATTTCGTTTTGGGAAATGCAGCCAGAACCTTCAGAAAATGTTTTTCAGGACAGAATTGTGTTTTGATTGGTGATGAATCTGCTTTTACAGTTAGCTTGTGATTTCCTGCAGTCTTACCGGCGTGACAGCACTGATCTAGAGAGTGGAGTGGCTGGCTCTTCCTCTCCCCGCCCCTCCCCCCCCAGCCTTTAATTAGACTGTCTCTATGCTAAGCTAATACAGGCCTCCATACCTTATCTTCTGACCCTTCATCTTAGGTAGGGCACATAAGAAAGAGAACTTGGTGGCTAGCCTTCCACCCTCATGCTTTGAAAACATTCCTGACCTTACCAAAATCTGCTTGCTTCAGCCTTTTCTAAACCAATGTCAGTACGTTTTAGTAATGTTTAACAGTGTATTTTGCTTTTTGGTTAAATGTAGTTTTGTTTCATTAATGCAAAGGAAAGAGGATATTCATTTCTATACACCTCAGGGGCTAGAGGAAATGTTAGCAGTAGCAAGCAGGGATGAGTGCAAGCAACAACTGTGAGGACTGGTCCTTTAACTCATTGTAAACAGAGCTGTAAAACATTTTCCATGAAAGGGAGTGTGTGCAGACAACGCCTTTCTAAAAACATTTTGGTTCTCTCTGCTGCAAATGGTGATTTACAAAATACTGAATATGATCCATCTGCTTTATTTTCTGTTTCCCATTGGAAATCAATAATAAAAAAAATTCTTTTCTGTCTGTAAAGGTAATAGAATGGGCTATAGCTTGAGGTTCCTCTGTACCCTCAGGTTAAATGTCAGAATGCAAAAGGAATAAAAATGGGATGTAGACTGGCCTAACGTTGTCAATCACGATCAAATTCCTGTTCACTGGAACCAGACCCCAGTCTGAGTGAGTGGAGTTGCCCCTGTCTACATTAGATTTGAATCAAGACAAACCCTTAAGCTGAATTGTCTGAAACAAGTGACATTTAATCTTTGACATGTGTCTTGAATGGAAATATGAATCAAATGTGAGTGAACATGAAAACAGCCAGACTGGGTCCTACTAAAGGTCCACTTAACTCAGTGTCCTGTCTGGGGCACCTGGTATTGGCCATTGTCAGCAAAGGGAATGAACAGAAGAGTCCTTAAGTGATCACTCCCCTGTTGCCTATTCCCAGCTTCTGACAAGAGACTAGGGCCACCATTCCTGCCCAGCCTGACACACAAGCAGTGATCATGCTCCATTATTTTATCTAATTATTTTTTGAATCCTTCTAAAAGTCCTGGTCTTCATACCTGTGTGCTCAACAGTAGTGGCATCATCTGCTTGCTTTCCTCATGTTTTGTTCCTCAGATTTTTAATACTCTCTTGTTTTTGCATATGTAAGTCTAATTGCAATGCCATGTCACTTCACTAATACCTAGTGCTTAATTGGTTTGAAATAGTTGCTTAGGTATCAAATGGAGGAGTTTGCTTTAACAATGTGTGGAGTATCCTCGTGTATGTTGGCACATCCTTAAAACACCACTGTAATAGGAATATTCATGACATTTGATTAAACAGAATCACAAAAGCAGTCAGTTTCAGTAAAAAGCAGAATTATCCCATAGTTCACTTCAGACAAGACTTGAGTCTTTTTGTTGGAAAACGTGTGTTGTTCTGAATCCGGTCTGTTACCTCCACAAGAGATGGGCTAGACAGATGCATATTTATTATGATATTAAATTTATTACAATAACAGTTTACAAGACAAGGCACATACTGATGACTTACAATCCAGCTTGGAACATTCATAACTATACAGCTGCATAAATTAATACAAGTGCATCATATACAAGTGAGAGGGAATATACAAATAAAACTCCAGTTTAATTCTCTTACTAAAATCTGAAAGGTAAACACGCTCCCAGTTCACAAAGATAAAACTGGTTTTGGAAGTTCCCTTATCGCTGTTCCTAGCAATTTACTAGCGGCTCAAGTTACCTGGTGGGTGAGCCAAGGAGTAGAAGAATGGATTTGGAAGCATTTCAGGCAGATGGATTCAATGTAGCCTCTGGCTAAAACCTTAATTCTACAAATGCCACAAAGATGTAATGTTCAGGTATCTAAAACTACTGGTTGAACTGAGGGACAGTAGTTGATTATTCATACATGATTTCAGAAGGAAGTGAAAAGAATGCAAAGTAGTAATGATAAAATAATGTTCAGACATCATGGTCTCAGTTTTGTCTCTGAGCTAGTCAGAGATTTGATGGGGCTGATTTTTCTAACACACTGTTAGGAGATCAACGGGTGTCAAGACTGGAGGATTTAAAAAAATTCAAACCAACCTACAGTTAAAAAGATCACAGGAACAACTTGCTGGCTCAGCTTTTAAAGAGGTGTGTGGTATATCTGCATTATACTGAAATAAATCTGTGCATTTTCATATGCTTTTCAAAGGCTGCCTGCCTGCCCTGTTCCTAGAATGCAGTGCGAAGACCTCAGTTGTATGTTCCTTGTGAAGAGCCCAGTGTCATTTAAAATTATCCTTGTATTTACAGAATTACTCAACCAATTCATGAACTCAACAGCAAATAAGCTAGCTGGAAAGCAAAGTTTTCCACAGGCCAGATAGTATACAGTGCTCTCATATTTACATTCTGCTTCTTAAAGAGTTCCTTCATGAAATTACACTTCTAGGCTTCAGCCTTCCATGGTGATCAAAGACTGAAATGAAAACATAGCAATTGCCTACCTCGGAACAGATGATAAATGCAAAGAAATGTTTCTTGGGGTTCCTTCTCCTGCTTATGAATGCATTCTTTTAAAACCCAAGACAACTGATCATTTTGGCTGCGTCTAGACTGGCAAGTTTTTCCGCAAAAGCAGGCAAAAACTTGCCAGCTGTCTACACTGGCCGCTTGATTTTGCACAAAAGCACTGACATTCTACTGTCCGAAATCAATGCTTCTTGTGCAAATGCTTTGATGCTCCCGTTCGGGCAAAAGCCCTGTTCCGGACATGTTTTTGCACAAGAGGGCCAGTGTAGACAGCTAAAAACTGTTTTGCGCAAAAAAAGCCCCGATGGCGAAAATGGCGATCAGGGCTTTCTTGGGCAAAACCGCGTCTAGATTGGCACGGACGCTTTTCCGCAAAAAGTGCTTTTGGGAAAAGCGTCCGTGTCAATCTAGACGCGCTTTTAATGGAAAAACTTTTCTGTTAAAAGCATTTGCGGAAAATCATGCCAGTCTAGACGTAGCCCGTGAGTGGGAGGAAAGGAAATGATTTAGAGGGTGTGCCTCCTGGATGGGCTTTACCAGACCTTTATTTTCATCTGTGCTTGGAAAGTGCTGTGCACATTGTGAGCAATACTACCACATTCTAATTATAATTAAACCCAACCAAGATGTGTAATGGTGGCATTGCTTAAGCGGATTGTGCTGTATCCCATCTTTTAATACTGAGTCATCCTGGTTATCATCACTACTAAGAACAGGAAGCAGAGGGGAAGTGCTGTCGCTTTGGTTGATATTTCATTATACTCAAGACCAATCAGAATCCCCTCTCTAGTGACAATGGGCAGGATTCTACGCAGCCTAGCACCTGTTGGAATCATGGAAGCCTGTGCAAAAGCATGTCAAGTGCTACCATGCTGATTTGGTAGCATTTTACATTCACTTTGTGCAGGCTGAAACGATTGTGCTACGGGATGCGGCCCATATGCTTTGGAACTAAATTACACTCGTTTGTAATTGGAAAAAGCAATAAAGGGAACAGCTGATATTTCGTTAGACTCTTAAAAGTTCATGTAAGCCTTTTCTTGGTGCCCGGTGGGAAAAAATGTAAAAGGCAGTAGGACTTCTTGAGTAGCTGTCGGCATAGTGTTCTAGTCCTGTCAGTAATAGTCAGCAAAGTTAAAGTTCAGCCCATCTGCTTTTTACAGCATATGAAATGGGTAATGCCAGTTATGATCCATTTGGCAGCATACTTATAGAAAATTGCATGTCTATTTCCAAATACTTTGAAGGTGAAAAGCTCTGTAAAGATTGATAAAAGGCCTCTGTCTTTATGAAACTCCAGTGAAACAGACAAGCAGGTTTATCTTAATTTTTAATCTGGGAAACAGACTAAAAACAAGGTCACTGACCCACTGTGTAACCTTGGGCAAGTCTTTGAGAAAACAAAGGTTTGTTTGAGAAAACAAACTCGGGACTTCATAGTTGTCTCCTAGTCCTCTAGAAAACACTGGTACATCTAGGGCAATTAATTTTCTGGGCTGTAACCAGCCAGAAAGTCAGATTGTGGTGTGTTAAAGAAATATTCACTTGCATTATTTAGACATTATTTTGCAAGTACAGTTACATCTATAAAGCCATAATATGGCACCATAATTGTAATGCCAATGAGTCCCAGTTCTCTTCCACCTTCCAGTAAAAAGCAGCGATTGCTGCAGTTATTTCTCTACACAATTATTATTCCACCAGAACGCATGTCCTGAGTTTCAATTTCTGTGGAAGGACTTGGGGAGGAAACTTGGAAAATTCCACGTGGAATTGAGGAGTAATGGTAGTTCGAATTAGGATCTTTAATTCGAACTACCTACTCGTGCCGCATGTAGCCGTGGGCATGGAGTTTGGACTAAGGGGGATTTAAAATGGCGGCGCCCGGGAACATGCAAATGAAGCCCGGGATAGTTAAATCCCGGGCTTCATTTGCCACTCCGGTTGCCCTCATTTGCCTACCTAGCTCGAACTAACGAGCTAGTGTAGACATACCCTAACTGGGTAGAATAGAGGGGATACGGTAAAGCTTCTTCCTTCTGAAACTTGATGCAGGGAATATAAAAGGCCTCACCCTGTCCCTTCGTTGCTGAAAATATATGAACTTACGACAGAAAAGCTGAACTTTTGACAGTTGTACCAAATGATTTCTCGTTATCCGGGTAGTCATATTTATAGAGTGTATACAAACATCTAATAATCAAAATTAAAATAGCCCATGACGTGTTTCAGTTTCCTCCAATCCTGCCAGCTACGCTCTGTGTGTCATCTCAAAATTCAGGCCCTCGTACAAGCTATTTTTAAATATACATGAGGGGTAAAATGAAGCTGCGTCTAATAACTTGCAAGGAGTAAATTAGCAATTTATCTTTCTCATGGTACCATGAGACATTATTCCCTTTAAAAATGACACGTGGTCCTAGTAACCCTTTACCAGCAGTTGGGACAGAATTAATCAGTCATCACTCAAATTATTGCCATGTAATGAGCTGAGCTAGAGCGTGACATGGCAAGTAATTTTAAGTTTACAGCTCAAGTGTAAGAGAGTGTTCTTGAGGTGGATGTCTGTAAGCATAAGCAGAAACGTCTTGTGAGAGAAGATGAAAATGTAGAGTGTTTACAGCCACTAGTCCTGGCTCTCAATTTAGGGTTAAATTAAGAGCCCAATAAGCAGTGGAAGTGCTGGTAATGCTGCTAGACCATATTGACCTCCCGTGGTTTGGCAAATTCTCTGGTTTGGCACCGCTCAGGTCCCGAGGGTGCCATACTAGAGAGGTTCAACCTGTATTTATCAAATTAGAATTCATCTTTGGGCCAATGGTGAATACAATTCTACAGAGTAAGATAGCATTATTTATTCGTTCTCTTTATCTTCTGAGCTATTTAGTACATGAGAGTAACTTTGGCACAAAGTTCTTACAAAACGTTGTGAAATCAGTATGAAGTGTCACCCTACGCTTTAGTTTTGCAACAGGGAAACAATACCACAGGTTGATTCTTACAAACGAGCTTTAACAAGTCTGTTGCACTGATGGTCCGACCTTTGGCATCTGACCTCCAAACACTTCACCACTGGGTTACAGTTTCCAAAGGAATCAATACGTGTGTAAAATGTCATCATGAATATACAACCAAAAGCGAAGGGAGAGTGCACTGGCCTGTAGCAGTTGTTAACAATTTGAATATTTGCAAGCTGACCTCAGAGGGGCTGAGGGTTTTATATAATTGGTATCAGAGGAGAATAATAGGGGAAGAGGATCTGCATTTTCTGAAGCCCAGAATTTTAAAAATAACTTCTTTGTGGAGGGCTTGTTATGCAAGAAACAGCTAATAAAATGGTCCATAAAGTGCAGAAAAGTAAGTGGGCTAAAGGAGGAAGGAGACTACTAAATGGTGTGCCACAGTACGCATTATCTTCATACAGATTCCTTTCCAAGGTTGTTTCCTATATCTTTGCCTGCCTACTCCACAGCAAAACAAGGATCCTATTATTTTTAAGCAATAACACTCGTATTACTCAGGTAATATATGGCTATAAGAACTATTTTCCTGTATTTTCAACTTGGTTTAAGCAATGAGATCTTTAGAAGCAAATACAACATGGTCCAGTACAAATGATCACATTGAAAAAAAATACAGGAGTACTGCCACAGGTTTGAGAGTCTAGATCTAATCCTAAACTGATGAGATTCATCCTCTAGTGGTTTATGCAGTCGTACACGCTTTCATACAGCCCCGTGGCCCATGCATGGAGTAACTTCATTCTCTCACATGCACACAGCCTCGTGTTTTCAAAAAGAATGGTCTGGTGTGGAGTGCGTAGCAGATTTGGTTGAAATGCTTGGCTCTGTATGGTAGAGGCACCAACTTTCAAGCACATTGCCGTAGTCTGGGCCTCTGTGGAAAACGCCCTCCCATTCCTTGGCTCAGCTGGAAACTCAATTCTTTGGAAAGGGCAGTGTGGAGGGGTGGGGAAAAGTTAAACTTACACCTTTTCCCTTCCCCAAAAAGTGTTCACTTAAACTGCATTCATGCGGATGTCCCCAAAGGGAATTTCTGTGGCTGTCTCCGGGGTAATGCTTTTTAGAATACGCTGTTGAGAAGAAAACACATGTTAGACAAATGTGCAAATCTAGCTTTCAGGTAGACCTTTGCAGTTACTTGAAAAGAGACACTGGAAAGGATTTAGCTGACAGAAGAATCTGATCAACCTTTCAAAATGCACATTTTTACCTGCCTCACCCAGGTATTCTGAAACTCAGTTTGTGCTTCTGTAGCACTATACAGGCAGTCCCCGACTTACGCGGATCCGACTTATGTCGGATCCGCACTTACGAACGGGGCTTTCTCGCCCCGACCTCCGGGGCGAGAGAGCCCCGTTCGTAAGCTGCTCCGGTGCCCCTGGTCTGCTGGAGACCGTCTCCAGCAGACCAGGGGCACCGGAGCAGCTTACGAACGGGGCTTTCTCGCCCCGACCTCCGGGGCGAGAGAGCCCCGTTCGTAAGCTGCTCCGGTGCCCCTGGTCTGCTGGAGACCGTCTCCAGCAGACCAGGGGCACCGGAGCAGCTTACGAACGGGGCTTTCTCGCCCCGACCTCCGGGGCGAGAGAGCCCCGTTCGTAAGCTGCTCCGGTGCCCCTGGTCTGCTGGAGACCGTCTCCAGCAGACCAGGGGCACCGGAGCAGCTTACGAACGGGGCTTTCTCGCCCCGACCTCCGGGGCGAGAGAGCCCCGTTCGTAAGCTGCTCCGGTGCCCCTGGTCTGCTGGAGACCGTCTCCAGCAGACCAGGGGCACCGGAGCAGCTTACGAACGGGGCTTTCTCGCCCCGACCTCCGGGGCGAGAGAGCCCCGTTCGTAAGCTGCTCCGGTGCCCCTGGTCTGCTGGAGACCGTCTCCAGCAGACCAGGGGCACCGGAGCAGCTTACGAACGGGGCTTTCTCGCCCCGACCTCCGGGGCGAGAGAGCCCCGTTCGTAAGCTGCTCCGGTGCCCCTGGTCTGCTGGAGACCGTCTCCAGCAGACCAGGGGCACCGGAGCAGCTTACGAACGGGGCTTTCTCGCCCCGACCTCCGGGGCGAGAGAGCCCCGTTCGTAAGCTGCTCCGGTGCCCCTGGTCTGCTGGAGACCGTCTCCAGCAGACCAGGGGCACCGGAGCAGCTTACGAACGGGGCTTTCTCGCCCCGACCTCCGGGGCGAGAGAGCCCCGTTCGTAAGTGCGGATCCGACATAAGTCGGATCCGCGTAAGTCGGGGACTGCCTGTACATTTGTAAAGTGCTGTAAATCATGTATTTTTTGAGTCAACAAAGTAGCATGCAGGCAAATTTACAGAGCTTTTGCAGTAATGCTCTTGTGATCATTTACTTTTATACTATTAACTTTAATTATTTACATGAACATATCCACTGAGAGCGGTAGTGTTCAATAAAGGTTCCAAATGCCAGCCCAGTTTGCTGTGTCGCTATGGGGTATGGATTTTTCATACCCTTGAACAACTGTTACACTGATCTGTTTTCCTAGTGTAGTCCAAATCTGGGGGGAAAAAAAACAACCTTTTTTTCCATCAGTCAGAGCAAAGCAATTCTCTTCTACCACCCTATGCCCCCCCCCCCCAACGGATTCAGAAGTAATCCGTGCAAGTAGAAACCTTGTTGTGATTAAATCAGGGTAATTGGTGAGGCACTCACCACACTGTACTGCTGCTACTAGCTTGCACATTTATCGTGCCTTTCATTCAAGATCTTAAAGCACGTACCACGGTATCTTCTTCCTAGCAAACATTAATTCTCAGCATGTAGCCATCTTAGCCTACGTCTACACTCCAGCCTTTTGCCAGCAGAGTGTATGCTAATGAAGCGCTCATTAGCATTTGTTGTGCTGTCATTTGTATATTCTCTACCAATGCTTTTTATGCAAATGATTTTTGCGCAAGGTTTTTGTGCAAAATGGACCCAGCTACGCTGCTTGTTTTTGTGCAAAAAGCATCAGCAGATAATATGCAAATGAAAGCACAACAAATGCTAATGAGCACTTCATTAGCATGCTCTGCCGGCAAAAGGCTGTAGTGTAGACATAGCCTTAACTATTCACGGACCCAAAATACTGCAAACACCCTCACGGTGAATGAAGGTGACAGTGGGCTCTTGGTGGTTTGCAGAGTTCTGCAGGGGCACCAGACTTCTGAAAGCCAGAGTTAAGACTCACACCCACCCCACTGTAGTCTGCCAGCCTGGAGCTGGATATAGCATCTGGGTCTGACCCGTGTGCATTCTTGCTGCCTTCACTGCATTAGGTTGACCTGCACTGAAAGAGGAGGGTTATATGGGAAGATCTGCAGCCCTGTGAGTGGTCTGCACCCCTCCATGGGTGCATATGACGCCTCTCCCTAGCCCTCGTGTGTAAGTTAAGGACAGGCGCCCATGGCTGACTTGAGAGATCCCGAATGCCTTGTTGGAGGTCTGTGTTCTGTGGCAGTGGGGCTCCTGGATCATCTTGCCACAGGGCTGCTCAGCATCGAGGGGAGAGTGGAGTGTGGGCCAGGAGTTAGAAAGGTAAGTGAGATGGCACCATGTGCATGCAGGTGACAAGGGAGTAACATTTAGCAGGTGGAGGCAGCTTAGCGTATGAGTGGTGGGCATAGGTAGGCCGTTCCTTTGGTGCTGCGCAGGACTGTGAGTTTGTGCTCTGGGTGTAGTAGGGCATTGCTCCAAGGAGAAGGCTGAAGTTGCCTGGGTGTGAACCTTAACTCCAGTTCCTGGCTTTCAGACATTGTGAGTTTGGCTGAACATGACATACACAAGATACCCCTGGGCAACATTAACTCTCCATTAGCGATGTTTTTGTCAGTGAATTTCCTAGATGTTTTTTAACAGGAGAAATCTAAGGAGTTTGAGGTGTAGTTATCACGCAGGCATGCAGCTGAGATGCATGCGGGGCAGGTAATGATGCTTATACCTTGTTCTCATGTCAGTAGAGCTCACGGCACTTTGGGGCTACGATGTTTCCCTCCTTGGCACTGTACAGCTGGACAAATGGGGACGGAGCACAAAGTGACATGGCCAGGGTCGCCCAGCAAGCACGAGGCAGGCTTTCCACATTTCAGACCACTGTTCTCTCCAGTAGGTATCCGCGGGATTCCTAGGAGTGCGCCTCCCCACCCCCACCCCCCGGTTACAGTGACATAGGGGAAACGTTGTGCTTTGAAATGCTTGGAGGCTGCCGTTACTAAAAGCCCAGTGAGAAAAATCTCAAGACGTGATTTGTGGCCCAAAACCAAGTTTTATTGCACAAGGAGAACTGTAAGTCTGTGAGCATAGATTGAGGTGGAAATGGTGGGGAAGATGGGCACGCTTAGTATCTCTCTCGCTCCCTTCCCACCCTCCCCATTCCATTACGTCCCTAGCACTTGAGAAACCAGGCATGCACAAGAAAGGGGGCAGAAATGTGAATGGTCCCTAGGTGACCTCAGTAGGTCTTAAAATGTGCCATGTGCATCACTGGAGTAGGGTGAATGGTCAGAAAACCGGGCTGTACCTTGGGAATTCTTTTCTCACCTAGCTGAAACAAAAAACAGGACTATGTAGCACTTTAAAGACTAACAAGATGGTTTATTAGGTGATGAGCTTTCGTGGGCCAGACCCATTTCCTGAATCTGAGGAAGTGGGTCTGGCCCATGAAAGCTCATCACCTAATAAACCATCTTGTTAGTCTTTAAAGTGCTACATAGTCCTGTTTTTTGTTTCAGCTAGGTGAGAAAAGAATTCCCAAGGTACAGCCCGGTTTTCTGACCATTCACCCTACTCCAGTGATGCACATGGCACATTTTAAGACCTACTGAGGAACCATGAGGATGTTAGCGTGCCCAGAAGGCTAATTTTTCCAACAGAAACCTGAACAGCGGCAGAACTGGACAGTGCTCCACTGGAACACTCTACCAGCTGAATCAGCCATTGCTTTGCTGCACCCAGATTCCTAGCACAGGCTGAATCAGAAAGTGGAGCAGGCTCAGAGAGGTGCCAAGGGGCCCGTTCCTCTCAATGGATGTTGGAAGGGGCCTGGGCCCCTGGTCCTGCCTCCTCCCTCGCAGGCCCCTGAGGAGTGACCAGGCCTCCCAGACTGGGAAGGGCTTCAGATCCTGGAAGGGGAAGGAGATGAGGGGCTCCCACAGATCCAGTTCACATAAGAAGGGGGACGGGAGAGTAGCTTAGACACCCCAAGAGCATTAGGGTCCCCCTGTTCCCAGCACATACCTGGAAGAAAAGCGTGTGAGGATGACAGACATCCCTAATTCCTCCCACTCTGCCAGCCACCCACCTCCATGTCATCCCTTATACCCCCCATAACCCTCACCCTGCCCTGAAACCCCTTCCCTGCTACCCATCCCCAGTTATCCCTCTGTGTAACCCCCTTGCCTCCCTGAAAATCCAACCCCCTTGTCACTCCTACTGCTCCACACCCTCAGTCCCCCTCCTCACCCAGCAAGCACTCCTGGGCAACTTTTCTTTCTGAAAGAGCATAAATGCCTTCTGAAGCTTCTGCTCTGCTCAGATTACATTTCTCAAAAATGTAATACTCATACACTTCCCTTGGCTAGAGACAGATTACTTCAGCGTGCCTCGGTTTCCTGTCAGCTTTCTACCAAGGGTTTGCATTTTCTGGGCCTAGGTGGTGTGCAGATTCAGTGACCATAACATGTCCACTTAAGTCACGTATATTTGGTGAGGGGTGCGTGGCTAGTAAGGCTTTGGGGATTCTATCCATATGTGCACAGCGTATTCAGTTGGCTAGCGAGGGGGAAGCATGTGTCTGCCTACAAAGCTAGACTCGTATTCAATTTTGCTTCTCCTAAAGATTAGTTGGTACCTTGCACCAGCTGGGGTAAATGCTGAGTGACTGAATTCATTTGGGCATACAGAGCCAGAGTTTGAGCCTTAGGGCTAAGCAAAAAATATTGATAGAATCTGTCAAAAGCTGGTTTCTTGGGGAGAGCTGTAGCTCGGGAACCCCCTATTTCAATCACTAACTTTAGCCAACATCCCCACTAGGCACAGCAAATGTTAAAGCAATAGGTACAACCAAAAAGATTTTAGAGCACTTGGAAGAGCTGTTCTTTAAACAGAAAGGAATTCTCAGCCTTAATTACTTGCAGAGCTGGTACTCTGCTATCATGCATGACCCCACCCAATTCTTTCTATTGATGTCATGATTTCACTGTTAAACAGAAGTAATTCTTGCAATACTGATCCATGCATCCAGCAACTGGAAAATAAGGAAGCATCATTTATAGACCACCTTTTTATCTTACGTGTGCATGCAGTATTTTCCTACCTACCTCTTCTCACATGCAGCTGAGTAGTGGGGTCAGAAGTACATTCCCTCAAAAATTAACTTTAGCAAATAAAACACATCACATACCTCTTTCAATGTCCCGGGGGTGATTATCAACCGATAAACCATGTAGATCGGAATGCAGATAACAGAGGAGGTCCCTATGCAGTAACCCACGATAGTGGTCCAGTAGGGATAGTTATAATCAAAAAGGCGGAGATCTGGAGGGCTGGACATAAAACTGCAAATGATGAACTGAAATAAAAGTCCAAGACAATAGTATAAATACACGATGTTTTTGCATAGCGCACAATTAGCCTTTGGGGCCAACTGCTGTAGTATGTCACTGAGACCAAAAATGTAGCAAGATTCAAAAAAGGGTTAGGCATGTCTGTGAATAATGACAAAATCCATAGTTACATTAAAAGGATGTAAGCCCTCATGCTTAGGCCATAAGCCACCCTAACAGGAAAATATTAGGAAAAAAATTATCTTGCGGACTATTTATTCCATATTCTGGGTATTCTTGAATCCAAACAAAGATAGGGTATTGGTCTAGAGTCTTAGATTTTAAGGCCAAAAGAGACCATTAGATCATCTAGTCTAGGCTGCAGACCAGAGACGGGACAAGGAGAGCAGACAGAACCATAGGAGCCTGCACACGCGGGGAGTCGGCTTAAAAGCTGGCTCTCCAAGGGCACCAGCTCCCACCTCCCTCCACCTTGCTTCCTCAGTATCAGAGGCAGCAAGGGGCACTGTGTGTAAACGTTAGGATTTACCGATAAGCCTAGGCTTATCGGTTAATCGTGTAAATAATTACATGTTCGCATCCCTAATGGACACTAGACCTAGATGTAGTATTCTGCTATCTGCACTGTATGCAGAAGTTAAAAAATCACCCTTATACAGCTAAGAGCTAATATGATCATTGGATGTATAAACAGGGAAGTATAACTGGTCCACAGATCTGATCTGGCATTGCATATTTGAATGCCAATTCTAAAATTCAGTTGAATTTTAGACTTGGTAATCAAAGATGGAATTTTTGGACCATTCTGTTTGAATTCTGTGTGGTCAAGAATCCTGTAACCAATCATTAGGTCTGATAATGAACTGAGATAATGTCTTCAAGTCGGATGAATCCTCTGGCAGGGTAAACAATTTTTTTTTCTTGGATTCTTCTCTCCCTTTATTGTTTACACTATTCAGCCCACATCCATACACATTTACAGTTTTTCTGATCTAGTGTGATTTTTTTTCTCTACTTCCACAATTTCATTAGAGGTTTTTTTATGTTCTGTATATTTAACCATACATCTATATTCCTTGCTTTTTGTCTCCCTTGCTCAGGTTATTGCTTCAAGTTCTTTCGGCATTAAACTGAAGAAACGTGCATAAAGATAAAAATGGTACACGAACCACTTCAAATTTTCAGGTGTTTTCTGAGTCCAGCTTTTGGAATGTTTTTTCCAGGCAGATGGTGAAAAGTTAGAGAGACCATTTTCCTGTGTAACTCTATGCTTGTCAAACTTTAATAGTATTGTACTAGTTGTATACATGTTTCAAGAATTCTTTGAGGCCACAAGGAACTTCTAGTTTTTCTTCAAGTACTTACAATACTCTTCCTTAACACCAAATAGAGGAGTCATCACTGTCTATAGCAACAACTCACTGCATTTGGCAATCTTCTCCAGAACTTGCTTCATTGTCAACAGCTGTATGGTTGAGAAATTAACTTACCAACTTTGATGTTGATTATAGGCCAGAAATCATTGTGGTTTGATCCCTGGTACCTCTGATTGGCTTGCAGAATGCAATAATTCCTGGATTTTTATGTTTTTTCTTACTCTAATACTAAGACTACAGAATTCCAGGTTTATGCTACAGCATATTGGACCCTGTGAGATGCTTGGTGCTTTCAGTCCCCATTGAAGGCAAATCTAAGGTGCTTAAGTATTAAACTGGTACATTGCAAAATGAATGTTAGTGACTGTTCTTGGAAGCATCTTAACTTAATTTTCACAGGATTTCATCAGGGGTTTCCCAGCACTAGAAATTTAGTAACATTTCCATAGAGTGCCAACAACTTCTGGGCTTTTCTTATTTTAGTTTCCATAGAGAGTGTAAACATCAATTTTGCCTAGTAACCACATCACTTGAAACTATATTGCTTTTTGTGTAATTTAGTTTCATTGCTTCAGGACAATAGTGTATAAGTTATTTCTATGACGAAACATCTATTTATAGCTTTTTTCTCCTTTGTCTACAAGTAATAAAATGGAAAGTTGTTAAACACACATTAATCATCCCAACAGTGTTTGTTTAGATTTAAAGCCTTCCCTGTGAACACGAACTCAACCTGTTTCCCTCCATAAACCTCCACATTGACTTACTTGCCTTGCATCCAAGCCAAGCAGCAATAAAAAACAGGGTGAACTAATTTGGGAACAGGGAATGGAGGCTTTGGTTAAAGATCTTAGTAACAACTCTACCAAGTCAGTTGTGAGGACCCTGGCTCCAGGTTCTTGATTATGGGTTTGTGAAGGATACTCTCTGGTGAGGTAGAGTTTGGGGAGGTGTATTCTGAGGTTGCTAGGCAGTGGCTGTTCATACAACAGATTTACAAACAGTCTTAAAAGATGATGATGACAGAGAAATGACTTTTTCCTCACTATGTTTACACTACAGAGTTTTTTTTCAGAAAAACGGCTGTTTTTCAAAAAATTTCAGTTACGTCCACACTGCAGTCACTCTTTCGGAAAAAGGCATGTGTGGACAGGGAAAAGGGAGTTCTTTCGAGGGAAGAGGAAAAAGCACAGGTGACTACTCCATCCATAGTAATCACAGCTGAAATGCGAGATGGCATCCATTCCGTGTAGACTCTATCTTTCAAAAAAGCAGATCGCTTTTTCAATGTGCTTTTGCTGTGTAGACGCTCTCTTTCGGAAGAAGTTTTTTGGAAGATCTCTTCTGGAAAAACTTCTTCCGAAAGAAGCCTGCGGTCTAGACATAGCATCACATACATGTAAAGTGGCAAAGATAAAATTAGTCTTGTCCTGTGCTAGATAAACAATGATACTGAAGAACTTTAATATCACACAGTGTGTAGTCAACCTGTGGAACTCCTTGCCAGAGGAGGCTGTGAAGGCTAGGACTATAATAGAGTTTAAAGAGAAGCTAGATAATTTCATGTAGGTTAGGTCCATAAAAGGCTATTAGCCAGGGGATAGAAATGGTGTCCTTGGCCTCTGTTTCTCAGAGGTTGGAGAGGGATGGCAGGAGACAAATCGCTTGATCATTGTCTTCGGTCCAACCTCTCTGAGGAACCTGGTGCTGGCCACTGTCGGCAGACAGGATACTGGGCTAGATGGACCTTTGGTCTGACCCAGTACAGCCGTTCTTATGTTCTTATGTAATATGTAAGTAACAAAAAAACCCTCAGTATTAATCTACTAACTAGTCCTAGCTGCTTTTGTCAGATTTATCTCATTGACTGAATATTGTTGGCTTCCAAAATCTGGCACTAGAGAGTTTAACACAAATATAATGTAAATAGAAACCCCACGTCTAGAACGCTAAGGTGTTCCATTAGTAACCTTGGACTGACTTGGGTGAGGAACAGGAACTCACCAAAAGGAAGATGGGGCTGATTGCTACCCAGCAGATGCGCCAGTACCAGCCTGGAGTGAAACCCAGCATTTCCTTCATGTCACTGCAAAACTGGGTGATTCCTATGAAAATAATTGGAGGACAGAGGTTAATGACAGAGGGAAAAAAAGTGCTTCACGCATGTGATATAACCAGGAAATGAAACAGTGTAGTCATGTCCCTGCAACCTTTTCATTACCCCAAAACATGAATTATTCAGAATTATTCAGTGCTTACCATCCAGGCTGGGTTGCGCTTAGAGGACAAAGTAATATTGTTTGCAGGGTCAGTTCTCGGTAAATTGCATTTGCTATGTGACAGGGGCGCTCCGGTCCACTGCGCTTGCAGGACTGATATTCGGCAGATGCCAGGGAGTCTGGCTGGGATGGGGTGTACATGCGAGAACAATCTTACCATAGAACCAAGCCACTGCAATGGATTCCAGAAACACCACGGTGAGGACAGCTGGGCCTGTGGCATATTCTTCAAACAGCTTCACCATATATGCGCCACCCTAGATAAGAGATTGAGACACGGGTTAGCCAAAATCCCCAGAACAGAAGTTTTACTGCTAGTAGACAAGTACATCTAGTCCCATAGGGTACGTCTACACTGCACTCTTATTTCAAAATAAGCTATTTTGGAGTATTTCTTCTGGACTAGCTTATTTTGAAATAGCATGGCCACACTACAGGGGAGCCTCAAAATTAGTCTGAGGCAGGCTCCCCAAATGTGGACGTGCCACCTCGATTCAGAGCCCCAGGAGGCACTGGGGAGTAATTACTTTGAATGGCCTTGGGGAGTAGCTATTTCGGAATAGCAGTAGTGTGGACACTCCACTGCTGCTATTTCGGAAAAGCCATTATTCCCTGTGGAATGAGATTTACAGAAGTCGGAATAAGCCATCTGTTATTTCGAATTTATTTTGAAAATAACGGAATTGCTGCGTGGACGCTCGCATTGTTATTTCAGAAGAACAGCTGTTATTCCAAAATAACGCAGCTGTGTAGATGCATCCATGCTGTCCTCAGTTCGAAAGAGGGCATTCAGCAGAGCAAAATACACTGTCCCATCACTGCCTGGCTTCTCTGGCCTTCAATAGCCCTTGACAGTACTAATCACTTGACCAGGATCCTTGCTTTAACGTCCTGGGATCATCCTGGGCCAGTAAAAGTGTCATGCAGACAAGCTGAAAGGGAAAGGCATTTCTCATTGGATTTTAACGAGCTAAGCAGATGGGATCTGTGCTTTCCATGCCCTCCTTTGATGGCAACTTTCCTGCTCAATAACTGTTTCCTGTCCATGAACATTAAAGGGCAGCATCAGGTTCTATGCTTCCTCTTGGATCTGGATTCAGCTAGAAGGAGAGAGAATTATGTCTTATCCAGGAAGCTGGCTCCTTATCAATGCTTTACAAGGAGGGAATTTCTCATAAAATGAGCAGTGGCATGTAAAAGCCAGTGCATTTTCCCCTCATCTTTTGCAAAAGCTGACCTCTTAGTACCAGTTTGTGCTCCAGTTACAGCAGTGAAATCCTGACAACAAGACAGAGGCTGTGCAGGTATAATTTCAGGCAGAATTTGGCATGTAAGGAACAGGTCAATGCTGCAGATTAGCCAGTGTTCAGAGCTTCTAGACTCCAGATCCCTAAATTCCATTCATGATGGTTTCTAGAACATGGGTTTTTATCCAGACTGTTCTTAGTTTGAAATTTATTTCCAACCCTTTTACAAACATACAAACAATCAGTGTACTTTTCAAAGCTGGGATTTGGGGCCATGGTCTGACCTGGAATAAACCTGCCCAGTGGCATGGTGTTATTATGTACTGTAGACTGGAAATTTGTGGTAGCTTGGCAAATACCCCCAGGAGAGCGACTGCTCACAATCTCCTACCCCATAAGGGAAACTTCTGCTCCCTACTGGCCTGAGTGTGTTTCCCAGGTCTGATAGGACTCCTGGAGGTTGTGTCTGAGAAACACTCCCCTCCTGCAAATGTCAGTTAGTGTCTCCTGCCAAGAAGCCAGGCCCACAATGCCAAGATACTTACGAACGTCAGGGTTGTTAATGACCCCAGGAAGCAAGCAATGATGAGACCCAGGACAAACCATTCCCTGCGCTTGCCCCAGAAGTGTGGGAATTCGTCCAGCACTGCAGTGATCACCCCCTCCAGCCCTGCAAACTGAGATGACAGCAAAGAGTCTTAGAAAGAAAGCAGCCCTTCCACCCTACATCCCCCAGGCACACCCCGCCACGGGGATGGGCTGAAAAGCCCCTCCAGCCTGCGAACCCCACCCCACAAAGGCCATCGCTATGCCAAGCTCACCCCCCCTTGTCAGTCTGGCTGCCTCCTCTTAGGCAGATGGGCTGTATACTGCGATGGGAGAACCCCTCAGTCATTGTAGTGTGTCCACACTGAAGCTGCCCTATGATCGCATGTTAAGTGTAGACAATACCACAAAATACAATGAAGTGCCAAAGGTTCATTGTTTTAATGGTATCTGCATGGGACAGGACAGAGATGGCTGCTTTGGAGACATCCCCCACCATGTCTTCAGAGACCTTACTCTCTTCAGGACTGGGATTGTGTCTCCTACATGGAGGAAGTGCCTACCACAGAACAAGAACTACCATATGACAGACAACAGCAACACGTACACGGCTCATTATAGCCAAGTCCATGAAAATGATGGAGTTTTGCCTTCTCACACCAGGAACGAATTTGGTCCTTAATCTGCAAGTACTATGTGCCTCGTGGCAAAATCTTTATAGCACCTTGCCCCACTATGAGAACTCCACCTCGTGTCCCCACCTTCTAAATCTTGTTACCTGTGAAAAATCCCAGAAACCTCTCACTGCCATGCATGTTGGTAGGCAGTTAAGTGATGGTTAAAAGCAAGATTCTAGAAGCTGAATATTCTGGGTTCTGTTCCCAGCTAAGCAACTGATTCACTGTGTGGCTACGTCTACACTGGCATGATTTTGCGCAAATACTTTTAATGGAAAAACTCTTCCGTTAAAAGTATTTGCGCAAGAGAGCGTCTACACTGGCATGTGCTTTTGCGCAAAAGTATCCGTGCCAGTGTAGACACTCCCTTGCGCAAGAAATTAACGTTGCCTGTCTACACTGGCCTCTTGCGCAAGAATACTTGCGCAAGAGGGCTTATCCCTGAGCGGGAGCGTCAGATTATTTGCGCAAGAAGCCCTGATTTCTTACATTAGAATGTCAGTGTTCTTTCCAAATACTCGCGGCCAGTGTAGATAGGTGGCAAGATTTTGCGCAAAAGCAGTAGCTTTTGCACAAAATCTTGCCAATGTAGACACAGCCTGTGAGTTTGGGCAAGCCAGTTAATCTTTTTATGCCTCAGTTTTCCCCATTTTGGAACGGATAATAAGTACTCTTCTGTGACTGGGGACGGGGGAGATTAATGAATGTTTGCAATGCATTTTACACTTAATTTGAGGTCCTTGGATGAAGGGTGCTAAATATTAGTAGAGTTGTTCTATTATTAAAAGGAGAGGTTATGTTTTAATTCTGAAATTTGTTTTGGGACATGCTGGAATAATTCCAAATGCTTAACCCCCCCCATCGATTGAGGGCCCTCTCACTAAAGATATCCACTCACCGTGCTGTCTAGTCCCAGAGTGAGCAGCATCAAGAAAAATATAATGGCAAAAAAAGTTGAAGCTGGCATGTTTGCAATGGCCTCAGCGTAGGTAATGAAGAGAAGACTGGGCCCTGGTACCGAGAAGGAAAACAGGCGATTATTACAGGTCGGCCTACTGCTCGGCACCATTTTGCCCGCACCTGGTGTTCCTTTCCAGTGGAAATGCCTTTGCCCACAGGGTAGTGTTACCACGTGTAGCTGTGGTAAGGTGTGACGTCGCATCGGGGTTCCCCCGACTCCTGCACCCCCTCAATGGCATAAACAGACTCCGCCAGCCAGTAGAATAGAGGGAGTTTATTGCTTCTCCGGGATACAGCACAGCACAGATGTAATCTGGTTACAGGGCCAAGCCTAGGATGCCTCAGCCCCCGTGAGATGGGGGAAACTGGGCCTTTAAATCCCAGCCCCTTGCTTAGGCTGCTTCTCCCATGATACCAGACAGAAACTAAAAAACTCTCTTCCAGCCCTGCCCCCCAGCCAGGTGCTGGTCTCCGCCTTCCTCCCTTTGTCTCTCTCCCTGGGAGGCTGAGCCTGGGTGTCTGGGTTAATCCACATTTGGGAGAGTCAGTGAGAATCTCCCATCCCAGCACAGGGGGACCCCAGGTCACAGAGCAGACAGCCCCCCCACTACGTCACATAAGGTTCCCTAGGTGACATGTCCTAGTTGCCATGATTTGTGTGTCCTTTTCATGGAACCCCAAATGCCACTGACTGTTTTACGTTAGGGCCCTTGGCATAAAGCAGTATGATTAATCATATTATATAGAAAACATGCATCATTTGGTTTCTCAGGGCCAGGGTCTCTTCCCTGGTCTTGAATTTTAAACGGATCCCATAATCTATGTTTAGGTGGTAAGAATATTTTCCCAGCCGGAATGTCATTAAACAAGTTCTAGCAAAACTTTAGAGGAAATTTAAGATAGCATTAGAATTAAGTTCCCCTACCGGTATCTTTGGCAACCTCCGACACGTCTTCATTCCTCATTTCAGCCATATATCCGAGCACAGTGAAAATGACAAATCCAGACACAAAACTAGTCATGCAGTTCACGGTACTGGTAACCAGTGCATCCCTGAAACAGAAAACCCCAATGCATGTCAGAGAATGACGGTGCCAGACAGGACGGCGTCTCGCATAGCATTGAGTGTGAACTGTCCAGACCACTTGGGGGCATGTTTTCATACTGGCAATATCAACTCAACCCTTCAGCTTGCCAGGGTATACAAATACTGGCCCATATATTTCAATAGGTGAGTGTTTATGGGAAAGACCCCAGGAAAATGGCTGTTCTGTCTTTGCATGGATGTTAAAAATCCCATTGCAATTTTCCAGAAGAAAAGTAGGGCTTTGTCTCGGTGTCCTTGGGGGACAACCAACAGGGCTGGAGAAAACGGTAGTTGTCTCCCATGGCCTACCCCAAAGGCAGCTGCCTTTCACTGGTGGAACGATCCCTGGACTGATACTAACTGCTCGTTTTTAAAAATGTTGAGATTATCATCAAACAAGCTCCCAGATCCCTTGAGATCGTCCATTTAGCATTTACAGCGTGATGTGTTCCCCCGCCCTGTCTTGCCTTGGAATCAGACAAGGTGTCTCGCTCCTTGAGCCCCAGCCGATCGGGGCAATACAGATTTGTCTCTTGAGATACTTTCACTCTCTTTGCGATAGACTTTGAATTGCGCAATATGTGTCTGAGTAAGAACTTTGGATAGTTCATGCAACAGCTGCTTGGCTGTCTCTGGCTGCATACCAGACACACCACACCAATCTGATTAATACTGGGTTCAGAGCGCTATAGTAATAGCTTTAGGGAGAATGACCATTTGCAGGTTCCATTTCATGGAGCATAATAAACAGCCTTAAGAAGATAAGAAAACAGCCCCACGGAGCCCTTTACCAAGTTATATCTGATCTGGTTGCAGTGACTACGCATTGTGACAATCTGATGGCTGTTCTGTGGTGGAGTCAGTCCAGACATAGCTGGACAGGGATCTACCTCACTGCGCCTTTATGGGCAGTCTCAGCAGAAATCAAGAATTGCCTGGCTTCTAAACTGGGGGAGGGACCAACTTTGTGTTCCATATTGGTACAGAGCCTAGGACAAGGGGATCCTGAGCTGCACTGGGAGCTCTTAAGTGCTACCGCCACACAAATACTAAAGAATAATAAGCAGCTAGACATGGAAAGCAACCCCCCATCTTGCCTTGATGTGAGGCCCAGTTGTGGGGTGAGGCAAGATTGCTCTGATGCTAAACGTATCTGTTCTGCAGATGAATTCACTCTACGGGACTGACCACCCGGGAACTTTTACCAGCATTACATTTCTCTCTCTCTTTTTTTAAACACCCAGACTTTTTATATTCATGCACTGTCCTTTTATTGTCTGTTTGTGACACCGAGGTGAAACTCACTGGTAGCAGTTGTTGTGGAATTTGTTGTAGCTGGCAAAAGCTAGTAGGACCCCAAAACCTGGACCAAGAGAGAAGAAAATCTGAGCTGCAGCATCCACCCAGACCTGAAAAATATAAGAGGCAGAGCATGAAGAAAAAAGGTTGTTAAACACGGAGCAAATGCCCCTTTCTAGTCCACTGCTGCCAATTAGATTTCCACAGCCTGTGTACAGGCAAGTCCTATTTTAACAAACATTTTATTAAGAATTCGTTACATGGATCAGAGGTTTTGGGCAGAAGGATGAGAGATGCGTTTGTAGCTTTGTGACAGAGGCAATTACCTGGCACAGTGAGAACATCATCCTTTTCACTTGCGCCATAACTAGGGTTTATCTTTGCAGGAGGGCACCGTGGGTGAAACGCTGCCACATTTCTAAACACACGCTGTAAAGACTCCCGAACCGTGGCAGCTCTCAGTGTTTCGCCCTTGGCGGGATCCGAGGCTGGCAGCTGGCAGGCTTCCTGGAGCGGTGCCTCTCTAATGGGTGTGGCCTGCCTTCCTTCCTCCGGGATCCCTTTGCAGGATGACAGCTGGAGTGCATTGCCCTGCGTGTCTCAGAGGGCATGTCCTCTGGATTGAGCTAAATCCATCTGGTGGTATGGGCACAACTCCAGCTGTGTGAACACAACCTGAACATGCTGTCCCATGTCAAATTCAAGTGTGGTGACCTGGTTCCAAAACCACTGTGGTAACCCTGGCCGGAGTCGCACTGAACAGCACCTCCACACTGCTGATCTCGGGGCCATCCCTGGAAGGAAGAGTCCTGCCTCTCTTGTTCCCTCTTGACTGTAGCGTGGAGAACGTTGCAGCTTGGTTCTGACGCATCCCTGTGCCGGGAGCCTGCACGTTCCCAGACAGAGCTCTGCTAGAAGCCAGCACACTGATTGCAATCTGCTGTCCTCACTTCAGAGCTATTCAGTACAATAGCCATGTCCTTTATTGCTTTTAGGACGACGTGGCTCCTTATTGGAGATGCTGCTTTATCAGAAAATGGCGTCTCTTCATTTCCTCCTCATTGAAAACGCTCCAGATCAGCTGGCCAGCTGCAGGCTCACAGACAGAGTTTTTAATCTTTGTATTTATTGCCTTGGGCTTCTTTCATCTCCCTCCCTATTAGTGACTTTCACTGGTAGCGAAGGAAACACAGCCAGGAGCTAGATGGCTTCTGTGCCTCTTCCAGACGGGTTCACATCGAAACCAGACACTGGGGTGACGCTTGTTTCATTTTATTGGGGTCTCGTCCCCATCCCTACCCTCTCCCCTACATTTGGGAGCATTTTCAGGCCTCCGTGGGGCATTCCCTCTCCCCACACATCCCCACCTCCCCAGCTGCCGTCCCTTCTTCAGGCTGAGTGTGCTGAGTTGGATCGTTTTCCTGCTGCCTGTGTGGATACGGAGGAATGTGGGAGGTTTCCACCTGAGTCAAGCAGCACTTGTCCAAAAGGGAAGGTCTCTTCAGGGCCTCCTGCCAGGGCGTGACATGGAGCTTGAGTTTTGGGGGTGGCGATAATCCTGGTTATGAAACGGGAGCTGTGAGGCCAGCTGCCTGACCATGGGCTCCATTAAAGGTAAGTTAGCCCATTCCAGTGTCTCCTGGTCAGCCAGGGTGCCCCCCCCCCATTCAGATCCAGGTTAGCCAGCGGAGTGGGACCAGGAACAGAGACAGCGTGGTGAGCTCTACCTTGCGTAATTGTTACAACTGCACTTTGGACAAAGATTTAAAAGAACTGGAGTTCAGAGTTAGGCCTCCGAATCCGAGGGCCCGTTTCCTGCGCTGGCACTAGCCATGTTCTGAAAAGGAGAGACACTAATTGCAGCCTGTAAGCGCGTACGCGGATGTCCCCTTTGTAACTACAGCCTTACCTGAGTGGCCAGGAGTTTCTGCCAGTCAGGCTGCAGGTAGAAGACAACCCCTCTCCAGGCTCCAGGCAGCGTGGCCCCTCGTACTAACAGGATAAAGAGTATGATGTAAGGGAATGTGGCAGTCACCCATACCACCTGTTAGAGAAAACACGAGGACAGTGTTTGCCAGGGGGCTGACGGAGGGAAACTGAAATGATGAGAGTGGCACAGTGCATGGAATGAACAGTAATACTGAGACTCATGACACCTTTCATTCAACGTGCTTTACAAAGGCAATCGCTGTCTTTTATCAAAGGAGAAAATACATCCCACAGTCGCTAGATGACATGCCCAACATCCTGCAGTGAATCAGTAGCAGAGCTAAGATATAGCAACCAGAACTTCAGACTCTCATTTGCCTCCTCTTAGCACCTGGGCCACGTTGCCTTCCCTACTGCCAACGCCCTCCAGTGCCCACCCAGGGCTCCTTTTTAAATTCCCCTTTGTTAAACATCAGTGCAAATAGGAAAACACGTGGGCCATTTCCAAGCAGACCTACTAGCTTCCTTTCTCTAGTTCTGCATACGGCCTCTCTCCTTCCATCTCCCTCGCCCTCTGATGAAGTGTGTTTAGACAAGAGTTATACACCAACTCGCTGCTGACGGTGTATAAACTAGTTTACTCAGCATCACGGGTCTCACTGCCCCACCGATACTTATACATTCTCCTCTCAGGCAGTCAGCTCTGGTTTCTGACGCCAGGTTTGCTGGCGCTGTGTCAATAAACAGGTGACAGGCACATTGCTTAATCATTTCCCATTGCTGTGCATGGTGCCATCTTTAACTGCTGTGTCAGCTTAGCCAGGTGAAAAGAGTCCTATGTCCACATTCCATTTCCAGCTCCGCTGCTAACGGAGTGAGCCAGAGCTAAGTCACTGATGCTGGAGTTTTGAGAAGGGCCGAGCACCTCACCTGCGACCCCTGTGGCCACATTTGCAGAGCTGCTGAGTTGTCAGCTCCAGAGGAAGAGACTCGGAAATGCACAAGCTCAGCACCCTGGGAAGTCGGGCCCTGCCTGTCTCAGACGATGCATGTCTCAGACTTGGCCCAGTTTGCTGACCCACCTCAAAATATTCATCTTAACCTTTCTGCCCTGCAGCATCCCCTCCTGTAAAATGGGAACAGCAGCACCAAGCTTTGGAAAGTGATGGGAGCTCCTCACATAGGAGGTGACCTGTCTGTGGAAAGATTTATTATTAGAGGTGGCACCTTTGTAAATCGGAGCTCTCTGGTCAGGCAACATCCATGATTCAAAGGGACCATGGATGTTCCAGGATCAGAGAGTCCCGGTTCACTGAGGGGGATAGAGGGGCCAGGAGCCAGGCGCTATGTAAGGGGGAGCAATGCACAGCCCAGCTGGGCTGCAAGAGGGTCTGGGAACCAGCGTGTGGCCCAGCTGGGCTGCATGGTAGGGTCCAGGAGCCTTGGGGGAGGGCTAGAATGGGGGAGTGGCACCAGAGGGCCCAGAAATGATCTCCCCTGGTCTGGCGATTGTAAATGTAAATTTGTATTAAGCAGCCCTGGATTGGTAACATGATTTGCTCTGACAGAAGACAGCAAGGCCCATCTGTAGAAAAAGAAACAGTGGAACTGTGGTTCAACAGAGCAGTAATCTGAGATTACCCTCCACACCCATGCACACCCCCTGGATCGGATGATCCAGAACAGCAACCCAACAGATGGGTAGCCTCTATTATATGGACTATGGTGGCACTCACTGCACGGTACATGTGCACGACTTTCCAGGCCCTGTCGTAAAGACGATCTAAGCTTCCTTTCTCCCACGTTAATAGGCTGCTTCAGACACGCTGCAGAAATGATGCTCTCCCAAGCAAGTTCCTCTTGCTTTTGCATTCACCTTGCCAGATGTTTTGACCCCTTTCCAGATGCTGAAGTACACAATAGTGAAAATCAACATCAAGCAGAGAGTCAGTTGCCAGCTAATGCCTCCTAGATCATCCAGCCCTTTGGACCTTTGCACCTGGAGAACGTGGCGGCTAAAACAGGAGAGAAAAGCACATTGTTAATGTTTGTGTAACCAACACAGAGTGCTTTGGCTCTAAGTCACGAGAGGAGAGACACCCCCACACACACATACCAACATCTGCATTAATTTTAATCCCTAGACAGTTTAGAAAAAGGCCTGTGGTTGATAAATCTCCCTGTTGCCCTATAAAAAAAAAAAAACCACCCTGCATTTCTACCTCGCTTTCTGATATCACTGTCTCCACTTACATGCACTTACGTGTAAAATTCTTCTGCTGGGGAGATGGAGTGTGGAGTCCAGGTAACGCTGGTGTTGGTGAAATAATTGGTGCAGTTGCCTGTATTCCAAGCATTTTTGCAGCTAGTCCATGGCAGCTCCGCCGTGAAGGATGAAACGAGGTAGTAGAGGGCCCAAGCCATGATGGTATTGTAGTAAGAGGCAATATAGAAAGCTATGATGCAGATGGTAAAGCCAATTCCTGGGACGGCAGGAAACAGTTATGTGAGTGCTGGCCCCATAGAGCAGGTAAACGACAATCAGTGAGACACCCAATCAGAGAGCAGACATGTCCCATTCCCGCCCTTTTTCTAGAACTCTGTGGGGTCTTCAGAAAGTGTGTATGGGGAAAGGGGGGGGGGGAGGATTTGCCCAAACCACGCTTCAGAAAAGCATCCCAGTTCTAAACAGAACCTGCATAACAGCTGTCCTGACTCAGGTCCCGGTCTCTGGAATTTTGACTGGGATGCATATTCCCCACGTCTTCCTTCCCCACAAACAAACAAACGAAGTTGGAAGGAAATCCAGCTCTGGTTCTGAAGGCCAGGATAACAAGCGTATGACAGATACTCTAGCATCACTGCTAGCAGAGATGGTGGAGAGAAGTGAGATGAAGCTGTAGGGTCATTTGTTTAAAAGATCTCTCTTGGGCACAGAAAGAATGGATTTGCAATATTCTTCCCAGCCCGCATTTCCAATACCATTTCAAATATTAAAAATGGAAAATTTTGGAAAGTTCAAATGACTTTCACCATTACGATGGTCTATATATGACTTTCACCATTATGATGGTCTATATATGACTTTGCATTTTTTTTGGCTTGGGACAGTGAAGGAGTGGTTTGTTTCTAGTCAGTTTCCCTTCCTGGCTTTTGTACACTAGCACAAGTCTGCATCTGCCAGGTTGGAAAACAATTTGGGCACTGTGTATGTCTAGAGCACAATTTTACCTTGTTTTCTCAAAGTACATGATTTCTAAAAGTGATTGCTGCTAGGTGTTAGGAAAGCTTGTTTTATAGAACCGAAATGGGGGGCCTAAACCGTTTGAGATTAACCCTTTGCGTTATCTCTTATGTTCAGTAATTGTTCTACCCTTATAGAAAATCCCTGGAGGAGCATAGTACGTTTCCCATTCCCCTTACTACCTTTGAAAATAGGACAAATTTTCCTCCAAATTGAGATACAGCCATTCCTGTGGTACTGGCCCAGGGCTAGCTCCATGTAAAATAGAGGGATGCCTCCAAAGATGGCCATGATCGTGTATGGGATGAGAAACGCTCCTGCAAGGAAGGAAGGACATGACTGTAGCTTGTCGTGGATAGTATCAACACTTCATAAAGAACAGTTCTTCATGTGCTGCAACCACTGAAGTTCAGCAGTAAAACCCCAGGTGCCCCCTGATCTCAAGAGGTCAGTCCAGTCAAACGTACATGTAATGTCACACTGAACAGAACTCACAAAAAGTGGGCTTACTCCTGAAGGGCTAGGTCGTGACTCCTCTGCTCTCGCTTGTGGGAAGTTACTCACATGACTAGTCCCATCATCTTCAACAGGGTTACACATGTGAGGAACTGCTCACCACTGGCTCTGGCAGCTGTCTCGATGGACAATGCCATAAGCACAAAAACAGTTAAATTACTGCCTGTCGTGCTGGAGCATCACAAACGACTAAGAGTCCAATTCTCAAGTGCCACAGGTAACGCTCCCGAGCCACCGCTGTAAGGTCACAATCTGGCTCTAAGTTTCCAGTGGGATGAAGTTCTGAAAGATTGCAAGATTGTCTCCTCCCAGACTTTGGTACCCAAGATTTTAGGAAATTAGGAAAAACTTCCTACTGTCTGGGGCTATGTCTAGACTACGGAGTTTTTCTGTGATACCGGAAGTCGTCCAGGAGTTCATGCAGGGAACACGTCTGCTCTTCTGCAAAAATGTCCGAAGAGCAGATGTGCTCTTTCAGAAGCCCTGTCTTCCTCGTGCCATGAAGTCTTCCGAAAGAGGAAGTTTTTCCGAAATTTGGCCCAGTGTAGACAGGCCAAATTTTGGAAAAGCCTCTTCCGACAAAACTATCGGAAAAATGCATACCTTTTTCCGATAAAAAGCGGCAGTCTAGACATAGCCTGGGCAGTGAAACCCTGGAATAAATTGCTTAGGGGGGTTGTGGAATCTCCATCACTGGAGATATTTCAGAGGAGGTTGGACAGACACCTGTCAGGGATGAGCTTGGTGCTTGGTCCTGCCATGAGGGCAGGGGGCTAGTCTCGATGACCTCTTGAGGTCCCTTCCAGTTCTATGGTTCTAAGATTTTATTCACTCCCATTGATGCAGGATGGAGCAAAAAATAAAATAATTTCTTCCTCTGATACACTGCCTAGATGCATGATGGGGACACAGATACTTCTTCAGCTCTCTCACTGGTTACAACCACTGTTTGACCGTAGCACTGAAATTATATTGCTTAGTCTGAATTTAAATGTTTCTGGGGATTGGGCGTCTCACTCTTTTCCCTTGTCCAACTGATCTCATGGTCAGGACGCTTTGCCTAATGAGTAGTCGACATTTTCCTTCTGTTCTTTCCTTATGTTCAGCCTGTGCTTTCTAGCTGTACTGGCTCTTGCATCATTCTAGAGAATGTCTCTCCCCCCCTTCGAGTGTAGAACTCTCAACTGTTAGTTGATGCATATGTCCTGACTCTAAACATAGTTTGTTCTTTTCATCTCTCTCTCGAATCAGTCTCTCTTGCCCCGTAAACTTAGGAGACCAGTTGTAAACATTAACTTGAGCCATAGACCCGAACCACTGATACCCAAAGAAGCCAGAAGAGAAGGCTGGACACTCACCTCCTCCATTTTGGTAGCATATATAAGGAAATCGCCACACGTTGCCCAGATCCACAGCATAGCCAATGACCGAGAGAAGAAAGTCCATTTTTTTGCTCCAGGTCTCTCTTTCCTCCAGCTCCATCAGCTGCGGCTGAGCCTCCATGCCACAAGTGGTGGAAGTAGTGGTGGTAGTGGTGGCAGCTGGGGCAGTGCATGGGCCGTCTCCTTCTCCTATTCCATTGCAAGGCACTGGGCTCTGAACCACGGAGTAGCCATTGGAGATCTGACCTGCTGCTTCTTTCTCTCCCTGGCTCAGGTGGGCCTTATTCCCGTCCTCCACCAGCTGCAGGGAGGAGTTAGGGGTCCTGAGCAGGAGTCCATTTTCTGTGCAGTCTTCTCCTGCCGTGCAGTCCAAGGGCTCTTTCTTAGAACTAAGAAGCTGGGTCTCAGGGCTGGATGACTTCTCCATTCTGCTGGTTAACAGCTGGTGCTGCTGCCCATTTGTGAGTGACCTGGCTCAGAATCCCTTTGTGTCAAGTGGCTGCTTGAAGCTCTGTCCTTCCCGGGCCGCTGGGTCCTCACCAGTCTTCACGCGCACTGGACTGCAGACATGCACAGCTTCAAAGAAGCAGAAAAAAGGGTTGGACACTGTTACAACGGCTGTGGGTGCTGGCAGCTGTACTGGGATAGCACCACAGGTATGGCGAGGACAACGCATTATTGATAAATATATATATTTTACAGCCTGTCTGTCTGTCTGTTCAAGAACCCCCCCTAAGAGCTGGGACCACAAATGTGCTATGCAGCATCCTCTTCTCTGAACTTGCAGCACTCAGGGCTCGGTTGTGCAGGACAACTGGAAGCCCCAGGAAAAGGGCTGTTTTCCATAATGTGCAAAGGGAGGGGCTGCTGTTTGGAGGGACTCAATAAGAGAGTGGCCCCCAGAGCTGGGGCTCCACAGACTTGCCTGTGAGCACACCAGGTAGCCCCGCCACCCATGCCCCAAACCCTTCGCCCTCTCCCTGGCCCTTGGCTGCTGTGCCAAAGGGGAGGAGGAGATTTAAAAAAGCCCCTGGTGGCTGGGGAGTGCGGGCGGGGGGAGAAAACACTCCTGGTGGTGGGGGAGGGGAAGCTGAGGCGAGAGAAAACGCCCTGGTGGCAGGGGAGGGCTGGAGGAGAGAAAAGGCCTGTGCCAGATGGGACACACCCCGAACTCCTCCTCAACCCCCACTCTTGCACCTCCTATCCCCAGCCTCCTGCGCTGTCCCCCCCACATACCTAAAGTCCTGCCCTGACTCCTGCACCCCCACACCGCCAGCCCCATGCCCCGAAGGACCTGGGAATGCTACCTCTTCTAGTCTTGAAATAAAACTACCCCAAAAGAGATAAGTACCAGTTAGGGGCTAAGCCTAGAATGTCTCAAATGGAGGAGAACCACAGAGAAAACAGGGTGGGGGAAACCCACAGAGAACAGGAGTGGAGCCACTCCATGGAGCCACCAATTTGTGACCTCTACACTGCGGGATCTGTGCAGCGAGTTCCCCAGTCCAGCCTGTTCCCGAGTTCATCTGGCACATGTGCCGGACCAGGCTCACTGCATTCCTGGGGAGGCACCGCCCAGCCTGGCCCTGCCCTCCCTCCCTTCCTTGTGTGACAATCAGGGACCTCCGGCCAGACTCGCACAACGGGGGACAGAATTCGCAGCCTCCATTTTCCTGTTCACACTTGTAGCCCCTGACTTCTAGCTGTACTGGTGGAGGCGCTTCCATCCCTAAGGAAGAGAGAGCCCGTGCTACTTAAAATAATTTGCAACTGGGTAGAGATTTGTTAGGGTAGTCACACCTCTCCAGCAACCTCACCCCCGATTTCTTGTAAAACCAGCCACAGGTGGCAGACCCAAGAGGTGTAGGAGGAGGTTGAGCTAAGTAGCCAAGTGGCCAGGCACGTATCTGAAGTACAGACTTTCTTAGGTCTGTTGAGGTTCCGTGCAATGTTCATAAGTGGGAGGACGGTTAGGGCTTGTGCGTTCCAAGCTGAGGGAACGTCTCTCATGGACAACACAGTGGCAATTTGCAAATAGTGTCTCCCCAAGAGCAGTGGAGCATTCCTCCTGTCCTTTGCGCGGGGTCTTCCTGGCTCCCTTTTTGTTTATTTTCATTTCCTGTTTTCATTTCATTTTCCTTTGTTTTCATTTCCTGAGAAGCTAGCTCAAAACGAGCAAGATTGTCACAGCCCTTGCTTGACCCTTCGAGACAGTAACCCCGGCCCCACGCTCCTCGACTACGTCTAGACTGGCATGATTTTGCGGAAATACTTTTAACGGAAAAGTTTTTCCGTTAAAAGTATTTCCGCAAAAGAGCGTCTAGATTGGCACAGATGCTTTTGCACAAAAAGTGTTTTTGCGCAAAAGCATCCGTGCCCAGTATAGACGCGCTTTTGCGCAAGAAAGCTCTGATGGCCATTTTAGCCATCGGGCTTTCTTGCGCAAAAAATTAAGGTGCTTGTCTACACTGGCCTTCTTGCGCAAGTATTCTTGCACAAGAGGGCTTATCCCTGAGCGGGAGCGTCAAAGTATTTGCGCAAGAAGCACTGATTTTGTACATTACAAAGTCAGTGCTCTTGCGCAAATTCAAGCGGCCAGCGTAGACAGCTGGCAAGTTTTTGCGCAAAAGCAGTCACTTTTGTACAAAATCTTGCCAGTCTAGATGCACCCCTAATGTTTGACTCCAGCCAGAGGATGATGACTCCAGCCAGAGGATGCTCAGATCAGACTCCCCATTGCAAGGCAGGGGCAAGAAGTGGAAGGAGCCCTGGCATCACCTCCCTTTCCTCCCACTTGCTCTCCAGGATGCCCTAGGGGGAGCCAGGTGCTCCAGGAGAAGGAGGAACCGTATCTCCCTTGGGGCAGGAGGGAGCGGGAGAGAATCTGTGACTTCGTTCTCTCGTCCGCTGCAGGGGTGATGCAACTGTGCTCCACTACAGGCTCAGAGGAGAGGTTATGGGGGCAATTTAGCCCTCGTATTGCAGGTTCCTTGGGTCGTGGACTTTGTCTTCTTTCTGCCTGTCAGCTGCTGCGCACACCCCTGCCCGCCGTTTTATACACACACAGAGTAATCGTCGCGTGGCACCTCTCCTTTCCAAAGCCCTGCCCTTGCTAACAATTACCATAACCCCCAGCCCGAGGTGTAAGCACACCCTCCATCCCATCCATGGGAAAACAAAAGCAGGGGGGTGAACGGGAGGCAGGGAGCCATCAAACCCATGACCTGCAACCCAGTTTTGTGCCGGACGATGAAAGTTCTGTCAACTGGTGGAAGGACGCAAGAGGAAAAAGGTGTGTCGTCAAGCAAGAAGTCACCTCGATTAGACCCCAGGACGTATGAATAGAGTAGAGTAATTCACAGCTACCTTATCAGTGCTTTAGCCAGGCAGTACACTCGCCACAATCCCAATGCAGGGCACGCCATATTCTCATCACAGGATTCAATGGTATTTTACTAACGTCAGTTAATCATCCACAAAGACTGAAACATCTTCAAAGTCCCGGCAAAAATCAGAAGACAGCAAAGAGGAGTGGTTTCTGCTTTGCCTGCCAGGCTATAAAAACAGGGCATCTTTGGCCTCCAAGCCCTGGCCCGTCTCCCAGAGGAACTCATACAGATTAGGAGGACCTTCGCGGCATGGATGTGAACGTAAAAGACCTGCCTACGGCCAGAGCTATGCTCTGTCTCTCCTTTCTGCATCAAGGGCGTTAAACACCAGATACAAATGTGGAGTAGTACTGTGAGCCTGCCTGGACTTTATACCTGTGCTTGTAATCTAGAAATCAGTAAAGGATTTTCCACTAATTACACCTCTCCCAAGCCTTTCATAGCGGCCTATTTCTGCAGAAAGCTTATTCTCTGGACAATAAAGGCATGTTATAATGAGACCAACTTTAAGGAGTGGCTGTGCAATGACAAAAATATACAGTCAAAACAATAGAAATTAGGGGTGTAAGATCCGGAGTAATCACTTAACCAGTAAAACGTTAAGTTAATCAGTTAACTGGTTAAGCGTTAGGTTAAGTGGGATCCTGGGAAGAGGACGGGGGGACAACGACGCTCCAGCCTGGTTGGAGAAGCCTCCAGTCCACGTGACTCCCACTCCTGGCCCCAGCACTGGGGCTGCTGCCAGTTCCTGGCTCACTCTGGGGCAGCCCGCGGCAGGCTGCAGACAGGGAGTGCTCCCAGATACTGGTTAACCAATACATGGTAAGCATCACCCAGTAAGGTTAACCATTCACATCCCTAATGTAAATAGCCTGGAGACTTCTCCAGTCCAGCACTTCTTCAAGAAGGAGGGGGGAGGTGTGTGTGCGCGTAGGGAGGGTATTATGATTAGATCAAGCAATGATGTTCTCTGGTATTGTAGCTCCTGTGCCCCTAGACAGACATCTAGCCTGAATTCCCTGCAGGTGGCATCTTTTGTTAATTTCACAGTGCTCGTCCTGCATCTGCTGGAGAGCAATTAAAGGAGCAGGTTCCCTAGGGAGTGGTTTCATAGCAAGATGGGGTAATAAAACACGTCCATAAGAACATAAGAACGGCCGTACTGGGTCAGACCAAAGGTCCATCTAGCCAGTAGCCTGTCTGCCGACAGTGGCCAGTACCAGGTGCCCTAGAGGGGGTGGACCAAAGACAGTGATCAAGTGATCTGTCTCGTGCCATCCATCTCCAGCCCCTGACAAACAGAGGCCAGGGAAACCATTCCTACCCCCTGGCTAATAGCCTTTTATGGACCTAACCTCCATGAAATTATCTAGCTTCTCTTTAAACTCTGTTACAGTCCTAGCCTTCACAGCATCCTCTGGCAAGGAGTTCCACAGGTTGACTACGCGCTGTGTGAAGAAGAACTTTCTTTTATTAGTTTTAAACCTGCTACCCATTAATTTCATTTGGTGTCCTCTAGTTCTTCTATTATGGGAACTAATAAATAACTTTTCTTTATTCACCTTCTCCACACCACTCATGATTTTATAAACCTCTATCATATCCCCCCTCAGTCTCCTCTTTTCTAAACTGAAAAGTCCCAGTCGCTTTAACCTCTCTTCATATGGGACCTGTTTCAAACCCCTAATCATTTTAGTTGCCCTTTTCTGAATCCTTTCCAAGGCCAAAATATCTTTTTTGAGATGAGGAGACCACATCTGTACACAGTATTCAAGATGTGGGCGTACCATAGTTTTATACAGGGGCAGTAAGATATTCTGTGTCATTTTTTATACCTTTCTTAATAATTCCTAACATCCTATTTGCCTTTTTGACCGCCGCTGCACACTGTGTGGAAGTTTTCAGAGAACTGTCCACGATAACTCCAAGATCTCTTTCCTGATTTGTCATAGCCAAATTAGCCCCCATCATACTGTACGTATAGTTGGGGTTATTTTTTCCAATGTGCATAACACATCCAGAGTTTAACACATGCTTAAGGCTAAGTTTTGGTCACAGATGTCATTGATCTGTGACTTCCAGAGATCCCTGTGGCGTTTTCACTGTATTCCCCATAGCACCAAGCAATAGGGGACCCCCTCCTCCCTGCCCTGAGCCCACAGCACCAAGCTGCTGCCAGAAGCAAAG